TTAGAGAGACCTGGCGGCGATCCTGTTCTGCTTGCCAGGTCTCTGTGCTGTGCAGAGAGAGAGGGGAAGAGGCGGGGCAGGAGGATGGGAAGTGAGGTCACTTTCTGTATTCTCCTGTCCTGCTGAGAGAAGAGGAAGAGCAGCCACGCAGAGAGATCAGGTAAGTTCTTCCCTGCCTCCTCCTCACTGCACAGCCCCCTCTCCCCCTGTCTCCCATGCCCAAAACCCCTCTCCCTCCCCTGCACAGATTCCCCCTCCCTCCCCCCTCACCTGCACAGATCCCCTCTCCCCCTGCCTCACCTGCACAGATCCCCCTGCCACCCTTTACAAATCCCCTCTCCCCCTGCCTCCATTGCACAGATCCCTGCCTCTGTCTCCCTCCCCTGTACAGATCCCCTCTCCCCTGCCTCACCTGCACAGATCACCTCTCTCTCCCCTGCAAATATCCCCTTGCCTCCCTAACAGCCCTCCTCCCTGTGACGGACTGCCTGGCACCCCGATTGGGTGCCTCCGCCAATTGCTGCTTCCTAGCTGTTGCCGAGTACCATAAGCACCGCCCCGACACCGTAATCACCCTAGCCACTTAGTCACCGCAGCTTGGCTGGGGTCTCACGTCCCATCTCACCCTGGACCAAACTCCTGGCTCCAGCTCCCAGTGAGAAGACCTCTCCTCCAAGAGAGTATAGCAGATATAGCAGTGTAGCTCTTACAAGAGCTAGTGATTATAGCAATCCAAAGAATAATCCCAAGAGCAAGGATTGTAGCTGGTATAGCTTTCCCCTACAACCACGAGACGAGACTCTGTGTTGAGGGTAAACTGGAACTGGTTTATTGGCCTTATATGCAGGTCTCCATGCAAGGGGTTTACTTTAACATATCAAGGGCATTCCCCACTGGACCTGAGAGTAGACTATGACAAAGTACATACTGTATTTACATTGCCTCTCAGGTCCTGGACACTCTCACACAAAACAGGATAATCCCTCCCCTGTGCCTGAGAGATAATTGAGTCAAGCACTGTATTAAACTAAATAACAACTAGCTTTAGCATGCAGAACGATACAAACTACAAAATATATGTATGTATGAATAAGCACATACACACACATTATATATATATATATATATATATATATACACACACACATACATATATACACAAACATATACACACATATAATAAAGAACAAGCATGCCCTAACTCTGCAAGGTCACTCTACAACTTAACTCTCTCCTCTCAACATCATGGCACCTCCTACAATTAAACGCAGAAAGCGCCCCCAATTACAATACCCTGGCACACCAAGCTGACCCGTTACCTCCAAAAATATTCTAGAACTGATAAACGCTGCCAGAGAAAGTCTCACTTTGCATCTGACTTCCTCCACTATAAATTTATGCTGCATATCAGAGAATACATTTTTAGAAGCTTACTTCGTACCCCCTAATTTTACCCTTTGTGTCTCTATACCCCTATAATGTAAGCTCATTGAGCAAGGCCCTCCACCTCTCTGTTCCTGTACCTCCAGTTGTCTGGTTACAATTGCATGTCTGTTAGTCCACCCATTGTACAGTGCTACAAAATCTGGTGGTGCTATATAAATAATAAAATAATAATAATAATAATAATCATTATTATTATTATCTCCAGGCACAGAAAACATACATTTTTATAAAACCCCAAAAATACCTTTAAACACACAAAAAACAAAACAAAAAAGTAACATCCCCTGATAGCCCCGATCTGGGTATCCAACATATCCAAAAATCACCCAGATCAGTTCAGGGGTTCGGGAATTTCCCGGAAGTCATAATTTGACCGACCGTACGCATGGTCCAATGCCCAAAACAGTTCCAGAAAATCAGGGCTTGTGGTCAGTCTAGTTCGGTAGTTTAAATACCGAACATAGTCAATGTTCTTACCTTGGAGCTTGTTCAACTTGTTCATGGGAACGTTTCCACCGAACAGTGCCCTTCTAAGTTGTGTAGAACTGAACGCAGGCAACCCTGGAAGTCCAGAGGTGTTTTGGAGTTTCAGTGTCTGAAAACAGTTCCATGAACTTGACGACCAAACACTGCTGCCTGGTTTCGCGGGAACAAGATGGCCGCCACCTCGTGGTCGTTCATGCGAACAACGACCACCCAGACGAACACTTAGAACACTGCGGTGGAAAATGTTACAAACTGTAACACAGTCATGGACGTCCACGACTGCACCGGACATGACATGGGTCGAGATAGGGGCGGCAAACTCAGGGACAGCCCCGGGCAGTAAAAGCTCTAGTTACGCCACTGCTCCCTATAAATGGTAATGTATCTACGGCTGTGGAGAAAATGTTGTAGGTGGATGCCATTTTCCATCTCCAACTGAAAAAGGAGTTGTTTTTTAAGAATGTCTTTTGTTGGTACTAAGACTTGATTCCAGTGTCTAGCATTTAATACTTTTGCTGCCATCAAACAATGCATAATCAGAATATCCCATTTGTTGACCCCCACCGCACAGTTAAGATTTAAAAAGGCAATTTCTGTTGTGGTGACAGTGACCTCACCACTGGTTTTTGGAGGGAACTTCTTGCCAGCCTTTTATCCTGTGACTATGGCTCCTGCAATAGAACTGGTTAATACACTTCAAACAGGCTCTGTTCGTGCAATTGGGACTATATGGTTAGTTTACCAAACAATCGCACGAGCAGAGACCACCCAGGAGCTTGTTAACACCTATTAACAACTGGGAACGTTTCTCACCACGGTGTTCTAATTGTTTGTCTGATTCCTATGAACAACCACGAGGTGGCGGCCATCTTGTTCGCATGAATGCAGGCAGCGGTGTTTGGGCATGAATCTCATGGAACCTAAATCGGATACAGAAACTCCCGAACACTGCTGGACTTCCATCATCGCCTGCGTTCGTTTCTATTCAGCTTAGAAGGGCACTGTTCGGTGAGATCATTTGTCTAGATGATGGGAACAAATTCCAGGGTAAGACTATTGACTCTGTTCGGTAGTTTGTTCGTTTGCAAACTACCAAACTAGACTGGCCGCAAGCCCTGATTCTATGGAACTGTTTTGGACATGAAATCCTGTGTTTGCCTGGGCAAAAATATGACTTCCATAAAATTTCTGAACGCCTTATCTGGTCTGGATGATTTTTGGATATGTTGTTCACCCAGATCAGGGCTATCAGGGGTTGTAAGTTACGGGGATATGTTGTGTTGTGGGGTACTTATTGGACTTTATAAAAATGTGTGTTTTTTCTGTCTGTGGATAATTAAGTTATTATATTATCTACCTTAATTGTATCACAGGCAGAGGGGAGGGATTGTGTAATGTATGTGGCAGTGTCGTTCATTATTACACTGTTTTTATTGGCTTGCATGTTTTGTGTGCTGTGCCCAACAAGGTCCACCTGGGCGTCAACCTTGTTGGCAAACTTGTATAAAAGACCAGTATGCTCCATTAAACTTTCAGTTCTACTTCACCCTCAATCTAGAGTCTTTTCTCTTATTGGGGGGAATTGCTATATCACTACAAGGGATTTCTATGACCATTATACTCCCTTGGATAATCACTAGCTCTTGTAAGACCTGTTCCACTTAGGAAGGAAGAGAGGTATACCCACTGGAACCTGGAGCCTTGTCATAGGTCCAGGGTGGGTAGGAGACGGCGAGACAGCAACCAAGGTGCGGCGGTTCGTGGGGTCTGCAGTACTTATGGTGTCTGGAGAAGTGCTTGGAGCCCTCGGTAAGCGCTAGGAGCATCCATTGGCAGAGGTACCCAACCGGGGTAGAGGAAGCTCCGTTACATCTGTTTTTTTATTCAATGATATATCTACAACATCTTTAATAGTATCAGAGACTATATCCCAAAATTGTAAAATTCTTGGAAAACTCCACCAGATGTTATTCATAGAGCCATCTTGTTGAAGTCATCTCTAACATACTGGGGAGTTTAACAGAGAAATCTTAGAAAGCCTCGTTGGCACCATATACCATCTGTACAAGTCCTACATCTTGTACCCTTTGTCCTTAATATCAGTCATTTTACCTCTTACTCAGAGCTTCTTTGTGTTATCCATTTAGTCTCCAGATCTCTTAACGTCTGTTGTCAAGTCTTTTACCCTCGCTACCAGGGGCTCTGGTTTCTTACTAACTATTTTCAGGTCTCTTACAATTAGTCAGTAGACGTGTGCATGAAAAATAAAAGAAAACATTTTCAGGATTGATAAATTTTGTGGATATGTCAGTTCAGCTTGGTAAAATTATTGTATTAAAAACCTGAATTGAGAATCATAACAGATGAAACAAAAAAGTACATGATAAGGGATCACTCAGGTTACTGCAAAATATATACATAATACAACACACACTGACATGTCATTCAAAAACATTCTGCATTCATATACACAAACTATCCAGATAAATTCACCCCTGAGATCACAGAAACACAAAATTCCATGCTTTTGCTCACATAAAAATACACTCAGCATTCACACACACTCACAATCCATACACAAATACCACTGTGCTCAGACACAATGTACATAATTAAAACCCCTTTATTGAGATACAAAAATTCCCATGAATTCACAAACTTGTACTACAAAATATTCCTGCTTTTGTACACTGATATATGTTTTTGATCAACCATACTGCCTCTTTACTCGGTCTGACAATACACACCCCAAGACATGCATTCATGTACATTAATTTATTCACTGAACTGAGAATTTTGGAGAAACGACAAATGACTTACACGTGGTAGACCAAATTAGCTAAACTGGAAAAATTCTATGACTAGGGAAATTTTCTTAGCTATGCTATTTTGGCCTAAAAGTTTCAGTTTCTTGTCAACTTTTCAATATTTACTGCTAAACAAAGGTAGAATTAAGTTACTAAACAAATACATTTGGGTTTTATCAGCCCTCCCCCATCCCTAAACTAAATCCATATCATGAATCAGAAACCAAATTGCAAAATTCAGACTAAAATTAATGTGACCATATTGGAATCAGGATTATTTTTTTCAATCAAGCTATTAATTATCAAACTAACTTTTCAAGTACAATTTTATATGTTAGATGGCACAGTTGGAGTAGAGGGATTGTAACAGTTTGTCACATCCTGCTCTGTTCTGTGGAGATGTCTGGCCTTGGCTTCTGGTATCCAGTACTCTTTTTACAATTCTTGTTTAGTTTTTCTTGGGTTTTCTGGTTTTCTATTCCATGTCTGGTTTTCTTTATGCTGGGATTTCTGGGTTAATTTCTGTAGTCCATCCCTGGGATTCCCAGTCTCCAGGTTTCCTTTAAATGTTTCTTTTATGTTGCCACACCTGTTTGTTTTCCATCATTCCTTTTGTTTCAGTGTTCCTGCAGGCAGCTGCTCAAGGCTTCTGCCCTTTCTTGCAGGTAAGTGCTATATATGTCTTCTTTGGTTCTTTTAGCATACATTAGGCAGTGTAGGACCTGCCAGATATGGGGTACATTGGTGTTGTTGGCAGGCTTATGCAATGTATGATCACATAATGTGACTAAATCCCCATGATTTTCATATTTAGTGCTTAGTTATGTCTCCTCTTGTTTTACATTGTATCTCTTGTCTTGTTTTATTTTGTCTTGTATTCCCAGTTCATGTACAGTCCTGTCCTGCCCTGTTCTTGTTTTCCTCATTTCTTGTGTACATGTTCTGGGTTCTGCTTTCTGTCTTGCTCCAGTTCTGGGTTCTATTAGTTCTGTCTTGTTTTCATGTCTGGTGACTATTCTAGCCTTGCCTTGCGTCAGTACTGGATACACTCCTGCTGCAGAGCCTCCCTATTCAGCTCCTGGGAGGACTGCTTAATTCCAAGCTTCTAGTTCCTGGGATCCGCATAAGCTGAATCAGGGTTCTGGTATGTGGCTGAACAAACGCTGGTGCTCAACACCAGGGGGCGTGCGGTTACCCAGCACCAGACCCTGCTTATCCACCTCCACACTGTGACTCCTACTCTGAACATCAGGCATACTGGGTTCCGGTCCTCGCACCGCCGCCAGGACAGTGTCTGGGTCCCGGGCACCGGACTGCCACCCTGACACAGTTTAACTAATATGTCTTCTTGAAAATTTAAGTTTTCAGTGACTTTTTGAATGAATTGAGCCTCGGGTAGAGTCTAACAGAGTAGGTAATAGCGTTCCGTAGGAACAGTGCATCCCTAAAGAATTCTTGAAATTGAGGGTTTTGTGTACAAGGGTTGCTCTTTCCAAAAACATTTTTATTAAAACAATGTTTTTGGTTCGAAAAACCCCTTAAATGTAAATCCGGCCCATTTTGGTGGCTGCGCAGGTGTGGGAGTCCTGACTGTACAGCTCTAACAAAGTAGTCTTTTTGCTGGGCAGCCCATTTACAATATCTATGTGAGAGTTGCACCCTCAAGGGAGAGAAATGTGTGAGGAGTATAAAGTCGAGGATAACATAACAATTAATCTTCATCTGTGGAGTCAAACATCCTTGCACTTGGTGGGGGGCCCTTGATCTCCTATTGTCCAGGGGCCATGTACCTTTAGTAGAACTGGCATATTGAGACACAATTCAGAATTAACAAAGATCCGGAAAAGACAAGTAGATCTGTGACTGACAACAGCAGACTTGTAGAGGTAAAGAACCCAAAAAGGACAAGTTGAAAAGAGTGCTTAGAGATCTAGGAGAAAAATCATGAAAGAGAGGAATAATATCTAAGCTAATGAACAGGGGCATCAAAATATACCTGTCACCAAAACAGAATTTGGCACGCCCCCAAACCCCACCATTGGCTCTTCCCTAAACGCCACCTTGACACTCCCAAACCCTTATTACTTTCAAGAAACACCTCTCTACACATTAACAGTTATAGAAACACACTATGCTCTATCCACTAAACAGTTAATTATATGGTAAACTATTCTAAAAAACTAATTTTTCTTTGTAAATAATAATTATATAACTATGTTAGTCTGTCCCTGGAGTGGAGATTCAGAGCCTCTGTTTCACAGATGGATGTAATCAACAGCAACACTGGAACCTCATCTGAATCGGGTGACAAAATATGGCAAAGCTCAATGAAGAAAAATATGGAATGCTCGCAATAGCTTCTAAAAATGCAATCTAGGAAATCCTAAGAGATATACAAATAAATAAAAATCTAAATTTAGAGCAGAGAAAAACCAGTTTTAAGCAAAGGTAAAAAAAAATAATTAATTAAAAATAGATTTTTCTTGCAACATAAGAGGAAAAAAAGAACATTAGACAATGCAATTATATTTTCAACCAGTGCAAAAGAAGGGATTATAAGATTATATAACACTGCAAGTGAAATGCTGCCCTCTTGTGGTGTGCAAAATGTAGTTTTACTAATATTTTAAACAGTTTATTATATTTGAGTGAGGTTTAACCTATTGTGTGGTTGAAGTGTTGACTCAATAAATGTACTTACTGGGATTATTTTTGGAATGTGGATTGTGCCTACTTGGAAGATGGCCTGAGATATCTTTAAAGGTGTCTCATCAAGTTTCTCTAAATTGCAACATTGTATAAATCATTGAAAAACACCTATTACATTTGTTAACCTTTTTGTCATGTGGTGCTTTACATTCATTAAAACGTATCTTAAATATTTAGCAATTAACATCATGATCCAGTTCCGTTCATGTACCTAAAGGGATACCATTTGCTTCACTGGCAACCCTTCAAATGGCCGGTCATGTCTGGTAGGGGACTGGACTACCCAAAGAAAAGATGTGTCAGCCTGGCATGAATGGATGCCGGGCTGACTGACAGCATCCCTGGGCTGTTTCACACAAAGCATGCGCAGAGCACTGCAGAAGCATTATCTGCATGGTCTTAGTACTCTCCAATTAGAGTGCAAGCATATCTCTATCTGGGACAGCAGATAACAAACACAGGATGGCCAGACATGGGCCCAAAACCAGGACAGTTCCACCAAATCCAGGACTGTGGGTTGGGGAGGTAGGCATCATGCATTATGAGCTGGTCCATTAGCTGTCCTTGTTTTTGGTGTTATATATTAAATCATGCATTCTTCAATTTTACATATTGTTCCAGTGCCTGCCGTAACTAGAACACCCTCTAAAACACTAATAGTAATTTCTAGCTTTCAGTAGTATTAATGGCTAACCCTCCATTCCACCTACTCTATGTTCCCAGCTGCTAGGCTTCCAATTGAAGACAGCAGGAAGATTTAAGTTCATCCTGTATGTATGAGTACACAGAACTGTGTTCTATTGAATGTCATGCAGTGATTGATAGAGGTAGTGTTTCACACAATAGGCTTAAGTGGATAGTTTATTTGCTGGATCTAAGCTGAGGCAATGTGTAAGGAAATCGATGGCTTAAATTTTAAGTCTTTTTTTGCATATTTTATTTAGCAACTCCAGTATCCATGGACACCATCTTCCCCTCACCTGTAAGATCCAGAAAAATTTTCATGAGAATCACTAATGAAACTTGTGAGGTGCGCAGCAAGTAACCACAGCTTCTGTAATATATTGTGCACCAAACACACTCCACTGAGTGCACATTTGGTAATTAGATATTGTTAATTTATCTTATTATGTAAATGTGTTAGTTGGGCTAAGGTTCCCTTATGGATCTGGAAGAAAGTGGTGTAAGAATCTCCCCCAAATAATTCTGCGGGCGATATTAACATAGGGGCTAATGGAGTTACAGCGAGAGGCTAATTCTGTCAGTCCAGCCTATCTGTATCTATCTCAGGGAACTACAGCTCTCAAACCACTAACACTTTGAACACTTCTCTCCTCAGGAATCACTCAGCATTAACCCCCTTGCCTTACTAGCTGGCAGAATATGTCTCATGGTATGCAGCCTGAGACAGAGAAAGAGGTGCATGCAATGAATGTTACAGAAATGGGCTCATTCTGTCACGATGGTGCTAGGCAGCAGCAGGACTTAGGCAGTGCTCAAAGTCAGTTTTTAAAGACCACTTAAATCAAACAGACAAATTTATCTCAATTTTAACCGTTCACATCATTGAAGGGTTCCTGACAACCACTAGAGGCACTTCAAAACTAAATGAAACTCAGTCCTGCAATCAATTGCTGAAGGGAACCTGTAGTCCAGGAAAACACAACTGTTATTTTCTGTAGTATGAGGTTCTCGTAAAGGGACACCCCAGACCCTTAAAGCACTTCGGCTTGCTTAAAAAGCTGTATGTGTCAGGGGCGGAGCCGAACGCCGACCAAGATGGCCACGTGAGACTGGGGCTCAATGCTCGGCGGATGCAGTAGCAAGCCCAACTTGACCACACACCACACACAACCGAGTACTCACTGGAGGAGAGCGATGTCACACCACAAGGGAAAGGGGAAAGGTGATTGATCGTTTTTTTCACCACAAAGACCCAGCAGAAGCCGGCGGCTTGTCAGGTAGGCCTCCAAGATGGCGACCATGACTCTGGGGAGAGTCAGGATTCCAGCTCCTCCCTATCCCCCACACAGGAGGATGACAGAAGGATCACACAATCTATCCTACAAAAAATGCTGGATGCCCAGTCTCACAATCCCATTTCCACACATCCATATCTGACCTGAAAAAAGAAATCCAAGCCATTGGAGACAGAACAGAACACCTAGAAAATAAAATGGAAACCCATGCAGCCGCACATAACACAATGTTAACTAGAATACAACAGCTAGAGGCACACCTATCCTCCCATGATACCAAACTAGCAGACCTTGAAGACCGGTCCCGCCGCAACAACCTGAGGCTACGAGGAATACCGGGAATCCGTGGCGGTGGGGGACTTACAGGCATTCGCTACAGGCCTGTTTTAAAGTCTTTGCCCTGACTTGCCTGTCCAGATGCTCCTCCTTGACCGCATCCACAGGGTGGCCAACACGAGGGCAGCTCCAACATCTGCTCCCAGAGACATGCTACTCCGCGCACACTACCACCACATCAAGGAGGAGATACTCAGGGCTAGTAGAACAGCTAAATCTCTAGCTGAAGCATACAAAGATGTTCAAATATTCGCTGACTTATCTCCAACAACGCTAGCCACACGGCGACTCTTTAGCCCAGTGACAACCACCCTGAGACAACATCAAATCCAATATAGATGGGGTTTCCCCACCAAGCTGATAGTCACAAGCAATGGGCAAGCCACCACGGTACTCAGTCCAGACGATGGCATACAACTTCTGAGAAAATGGGATATACAACTAACAAATGCACCCCAGGCTCTCAGTGCCCTACCTCATGAGTGGAAACGTGCGAGACGCTAACCGTCACGCGCAACATGTCTCCTAAAGCTACTGTTGGCTCTACCTCTCAAGTTCCAATGATCTCTACAGACTTTGTTTCTCCGCCAAGAGCTTCTCCAGATGGTCAAGCACCCCAGGCCATGGGCTGCCGAAGGCAGCTAACTCAGACCTCCAGCGCGGCACGAACATGATGTGTGGCGTAACTGCTATACATCTAACCGCACAATGCAAAACTGGGCCTATCCACCACCTGACATTGGACTTCCTGAACGCTGCTAGAGATGCCTCCGGGCAGTAGTGGATTCACACATTCCTCCACATAAGCCTCCACACAAGGACTATCTGCAGGGAAGCGCCCTCTCCAAGGCACCTGCCAGGCATAACCTCAGGTTTTTAATTTTTAACTCTAGTCCAGTGTAAAACGAGGCTGCGGGGATTAAGATAGCTGGAGATAGGGGGGGCACGGGACAGGCCACATAATAGATCCGGGCGTCACACTCCCATTACAACCCTATAAGTGGGCTTCCTATCTAGACCCCCCAACAAACCAAGACGAAGGGTCTCGTTTCCCTCCAGGGAACCACGCAACTGATCATACGGAGATAACACCGCGAGGTCCCCTCCAGACATCATTGATCCCCCAATTTACCCCCACAAAACTGAATTAACGCTGCTAAGGTATAAAGCCTGTCCTATAGACGGAGACAATGGAGAAACAAATACAGATTTAGTTTCAAAACAATGTAGACTTTTAATGTTTATGTTAATTTGTTTATGTTAATTTCCTCGTAACTAAGGGTACCACTGTGTAACAAGGAGTACCTCACAACCGTGTTAATGCATAATATGTCGAGTTGGGATCCGTTACCAATGTTTACATGTGCATAAATCCGCCTCTACGGAGTGTGGATACCTGAACCCACACGTTAAAGATTGACCCCCTAAGGGAACTGGGCGACAGACTCAGTACAGTTGAATCCAATCCTGTTTGCCGGAGGGCGAAATAGGCTGACTCAATGGGGGGACAGCCCCGAGTAGGCCCAGAGTGTTCACCTATTCAACACTCGGCAGGTTACACTTCACTTTCTATCTTTTCATCTTCTTTCTTCTTTTCCCTTTTCTTTGCAGGAGGTATGGCGGGTGAGGAGGGGTGGAAGTCCCATAGCAATATGGGTATGTTACCACATCACACCGAACACACATCATGCATATAGTGTCACATAATGTTAAAGGGTTGAATACCCCCTCAAAACGACATGCTCTATACAAAGAAATAAGGCAGCTCCAGGCCGACATTGTTTGTTTACAGGAGACACACTTCCGCAAATCTGACCCATGCCGCTTTGGCATAAAACCATTTCTGTATCAATTCCATGCTACCTCCGACACTAAATGCAAGGGGGTGTCCACGCTCATCAGCGGTCAGGTATCTTTTTCCTTAATCAAAAAAGTGGCAGACTCCAGGGGGCGCTTCTTAATAATTATAGCTCGGATTAATGACGTCACATACACAATAGCCAAAATATACGCCCCAAATGATCAAAGAGACTTTTTAATTAAGAATCTAGCCAAAATAGATGGTATCCATCAAGGCTTCCTTATCTTAGGGGGGGATTTTTTATTTTTTTTTGTTAATCAGATTTTATTAGCGATTGGGTATAAGAAATGTAGGGCACGCAGGCCCCCAGCAAACAAACAATGAAGGTAGCCATTTTGAAGTGCAAAATATACATGTATACATTCAGGAATATTTCCTGTTCTAAGACATAACAAATGAAACGGTACAATTGCATTTAACTTTTAAAGCATGAGTTGCAGAGTATTGTCGGCTCAGTTTGTCCTGGCGTTAAACGCGTTCAAGTGGAGCTAGGGCTACAAGGGCATGGTAGCGTTCATAGGCATTATAAGAGTGTGGTTCCTTGATTGGAATGAATCCAGGAGAGTTGTCGATGAGTGCATGTTGTGTGTTTCGATGTGTAGGATGGTGTTCCAACTAGAGGTCATGTGTAGGAATGTGTGATGTCTGCCTGATGCAACGTACACAGTGTAGGGACATGGAGAGTATCGGGATGTGATCTGTATGTACCCAGGCCGTAGTGTAATCAGTATACCCCCCTTTGATTTATTTACAACGGGTAGTGGCCTCGTCTATAGAGCGTTCGAGATATTTCCAGTGATGTGGGTAGATGTGGTCGGTTGTGCGTGGCTTGTGTCCCCTTCTCATAAGCTTGGGCCCAACCAAATCGGGTAGGATAGCTAACAACCTAGTTGAGTGCCTTGCTAGTTAACATGTTGTCGCATTGCAGTATGACTGGGTGAGGTCAACCGTGAGGACTCTTGCTTGGGTCCGTGTGGGCGCGGAGCTTGTGTTTTCCTGGGTTCGTCAGGAGGGGTGCGGTGTCGCTGTGTGTGTATGTGTTGAGATGTCCCGAGGCTGCCACACGCGCTCATTAATCTAACCGTCAGCGTTGTCTCACAGAGGTGATACGAGTGTCATGTCCAGATGTGCTAGGCATGCCCCCCATCGTGGTTCTGTGTAGGTATGGGTAAAGCTCCAGTATGCCCCCCCTTGATCTAGGGAGTTACTGAAGGTCAGTTACTGAGGTGTCATGTTAATTGGGGTCTTGTGTTCTTGTCAAAGCGGTGGAGATGTATCCGTCCCCCAAACGCCGTGGATGGGGTAATAGGTGTGCCGGTTGAGTCCGCGGTCGTCAGGTAGTCGGTGTAGCGGATGGCACTGGGCTGTCCTGCAAATGTCCTTGAAATAATTGCATTCGTGTGATCTGCTAGTTTTCCATGTGTTTTAAAGCCTTGTATTCTTTTGATTGTTCGGTAGTTTCATTCCCTTAGTTTATTCGAATGAAACTACCGAACAACCAGACCTCCCCTGTGTAAAGTGTGTCCTCAATTACCCGTTGCAACATTGTTGCGAACGGGTAATTGACTAGGAAGTAGCCGTCCTTTGTTCTCGGGGGTGGCCGCCATTCGACAAACGAACACGTGGCGGCGGCCATTTTAAAACTCCCGAACAGCGGTGTTTTGCCGTCGAGTGTCTGGAACTAAAATCGGACACTCGAGTAGGCGAACACCGCTGAGACCTCCACAGCCCTGGTCCGTTCGGTTCCAAACTACCGAACGGCCCCTCGTTCGGTAGATAGAAAATACCGAACGAGGGGATTCAGGCGAACCCTCCCTAGCCTCTATAGCTAGAGGTTTTCGTGTATTTTATTCCCTTATGCCAGGACCGACCGCAGGGCCCATTCACATGGAACCGGATTCGGCTATCTCAGTTCGTGCGGTCGGTCATTTTATTCCCTCCATACTTTTCCCGAACCCCTGGTCTGATCTGGGTGATTTTTGGATATGTTGTTCACCCAGATCAGGGCTACCAGGGGATGTATGATTTAAAGGGTACCCCTACGTTTAGGGGTACATCCAGAAATGGGGGGAATTGGTGTGCTGGATAAGGGGATTATGATGCTGGCTGAGGGGAGGGGATGTGTGGGAGGTTACCAGGACAGGATTGGCTACTGTAATAATTACTGTAAATCCCTCCCTTGCATGGGAGCATGCTTTATAAGGAGACTGTGATTAAAGGCTTGTCAGTTCTGCTCCTGAAACTGTGTGTCGTCCAGTTATTGGGATTGCTGTGGGGATATTGCTGCTGTTTTACCTGCTGGAAACTTTGCCTATGGATTTATTATTTACTTGTTCCTGAGCCTCACTTGGATTATAAGCGGAGATAACCTGGGGAATATTGCATCTCCGCTACATTGGTTGGCAGCGCTGGGATCCAGACTCACAAGGGAACAAGTACTAATGGAATACGGATGGAGAGTGATTATGCCAAGCTTAAAAGATCCACGCTAAAAGACCTCCTGGAAGCGAAAGGTATTGCAGCCAGCAACAAAAAGAAAGCAATCCTCATTGCAGAAGTGATGGCTGAATACCATCAGGAGGACAGGGTAATCCCTGAGCAGCAGAGTGCAACAGAGGGAGCTGAAAAAGAAGAGTTCCGGAGAGAAGTGCAGTTCAGGCTGTCCTTTTATGGAGAGAATCCAACAACAGATATTATATCCAGGACAATGACAGAAGTACAGGAGTTTATACTGCGTCAAAGGCCACTACAACAGCTGAAGAGGAATGCTACCACAACTACCATCACACAGGGTAAGACAAAAATTCCTTACCAAGCCTTTAAAACGTATATAGAAGCAGAGGAAGATATAGATGCTTTTCTCCAAGACTTTGAAAGGCTGTGTGCATTGCATAGTATTAGCCCAGACGAGTGGGTGCCTATTTTAGCAGGGAAGCTCACAGGGAAGGCGGCTGAAGCCTATAGAACTGTACCTGATGAGGAGATTCGGAATTACCGCAGGGTAAAAGAAGTGATCCTGGCCCGATATGCAATCACACCAGAGGCATATCGGCGGCGGTTTAGAGACCTAAAGAGAAATGATAAGGACTCTCATGTGGAATGGGCTTGCAAGTTGCATCGGGCCGCTCTGGGGTGGGTACAGTCCAATAAGGCTCGGTCCATGGAGGACTTGTTACAAATGGTGTTGCTGGAGCAATTTTATGAGGGGGTAACCAGCGATGTCCAGGAATGGGTGAGGGACAGAAACCCTACCTCCCTTACCGAAGCTGCCAGGAAGGCAGATGAGTACTTGGATGCATGCAGGCAGCAGAAACCTGCAGCCCCAAAAACCAGTTTTAAAACTTTTGGGGGAAACAGCTACAACCCAGCTCCACCCAGGCAACTGCCACCACCACCACACCGCTGCACAGCCACGTTTTCGCCAGCCCGCTTCCGGCCCCTGTCATCACTGCCAGAAGTGGGGACATTATAAAAGGGAATGTCCCCAGCTGAGGGATCGTTCAACCTGGATTCGCCCCGGCCCACCGCCAAGAGCAGCCGCAGCCCACCACTACCAGGATATAGTGGCCACACCATATGGTTCAGCAGTTCCCATAACAACCATGGAACATGGAACTGCACGAGGCGGATCCAGTCCAGGCCAATGCGGATAACAGACAGCACCACAGGCAGACCGTATACCTGGAAGGTAAAGCAGTACAGGGACTACGTGATTTGGGGGCTACTATCACCTTGGTAAAGAGTCACCTGGTGTCGGATCAAGCGAGACTGAGTAAAACTGTGGCCGTCAGGGTAGCCGGGGGAGCAGTGTACCGGCTACCTACAGCAAGGGTACATTTACATTGGGGAGCGGGGGCAGGACATGTGGAGGTGGGGTTGATGCCGCAGTTACCGACGGAGGTTTTATTGGGGAACGATCTGGGGAGGCTCACATCTGCTTTTGAGCCCCAGACGTCCACCACAGGGGAAGCTCACCCTGTGGTCACCCGTCAACAGGCCCGCACCCAGGACTACAACACACCTCCGGAGGTTCAGGTAAGAGACCCTTCCCCTTCCCTTGACTGTGTGCCCTGGGCCCCTCCTAACGAATTTGCAGCAGAGGTAGTGACTGACCCCACCTTGCAGGTATACAGGGACAAGGTGACAGCAGACCCTCCTGGGGAAGAGGGGGAGAGATTTGTCTGGGACAAACAGCTTTTGTACAGGGAGACAGACAAGCAGATTGAGGGGTCAGACCCAATAGTGATGAGGCAACTAGTGGTGCCGCAGCGGTACCGAGCAGAGCTACTCCGGATAGCGCACGATATCCCGCTATCCGGACATCTAGGGGTCAGCCGCACTAGGTACCGACTGACCCAAAGTTTCTTCTGGCCAGGGATCAGCCAGGAAGTGTGCAGGTATTGCACCACCTGCGATACCTGCCAGAGGGTAGGGAAAAGGGGAGACCGGAGGAAGGCGAAACTACACCCCTTGCCAATAATTGAGGAACCTTTTAGCAGAATAGCGGTAGACTTGATAGGTCCCCTCAAGAAAGCTAGCCCGTCAGGCAAAAGGTACATTTTAACGGTAGTAGACTATGCTACCAGATATCCAGAGGCAGTGGCTCTGACCAACATTCATGCTGAAACGGTCGCGGATGCCCTCATGCAGATATTCTCTCGGTTGGGATTACCCAGGGAGATTATCTCGGATCAGGGTACCCAATTTACCGCAGAATTCACCCAACACCTCTGGAGGATCTGTGGCATTAAGCCTATTATCAGTGCCCCTTACCACCCCCAGACTAATGGGCTCTGCGAACGGTTCAATGGTACATTGAAACAAATGCTCCGAACCTTCGCAGAGACCCACAAGGACTGGGAGCGGTTCCTGCCGCATCTCCTATTCGCTTACCGGGAGGTGCCGCAGGAATCCACGGGGTTTTCCCCGTTTGAACTGCTGTTTGGGAGGAGGGTCAGAGGCCCCTTAGATCTTATAAGAGAGCATTGGGAGGGAGATCGGAGCGCAGATGGCACCCCCATCATACCATATGTGTTGGCTCTCCGAGACCGCCTGGAAGCCTTAACCAGGACGGTAAGGGAAAACCTTCAGGCGGCACAGACCCGCCAGCGCACATGGTATGACCGGGGAGCCAGGGACCGTAGCTTTCAGGTCGGGCAGAAAGTGCTAATTTTAAAGCCTGTCCGACATGACAAGCTACAGGCCGCCTGGCAGGGACCTTATAGGGTGGTGGAACAGAGATGTGACACCACCTATATAATTGGCCCCTGCACAGGGACGGGAGGGTGACGCATGCTCCATGTGAACATGATGAAGCCCTACCAAGAGCGCTCCGAGGAGGTAACCGCCATATGTGCGCCCAATTCTGATGAGTTTGACAGCTTACCACTCCCAGATCTGCTGGAAGATGGGCAGTTGTCTGGGGATTTAGGGGAAGTCACACTGGGAGACCGGCTGAGCCCACAGGAGCGCATCGAGGTACAGCAGCTGTTGGAGGAGAAACGAGACACGTTCTCTAATGTACCTGGGTACACCCCTCTGGCCACTCACCGGGTAGAGACCCCAGGGCAACTACCGATGCGCCAGACCCCCTACCGCATCCCGGAAGCGGTAAGGGAAAACATGCGCAAGGAGATCGATGAGATGCTCCAACTGGGGGTGATTGAGCCCTCAGATAGTCCCTGGGCTTCTCCGGTAGTGCTCGTACCGAAGCGGGACGGTACGACCCGCTTCTGCGTAGACTACCGGAGATTAAACGAGAAAACGGTGTCCGATGCATACCCTATGCCACGGATAGATGAGCTACTGGACAGAATGGCCAGGGGTCAATACCTCACTACCATTGACTTATGTAAGGGGTATTGGCAAATCCCCCTGGCCCCAGAGGCCATCCCGAAGTCGGCCTTTGTCACCCCATTTGGCTTGTACCAGTTTAAGGTCATGCCATTTGGGATGAAAAACGCCCCAGCTACTTTCCAGCGGATGGTAGACCGACTCCTGGATGGGTTCCAAGACTACACCTGTACCTACCTGGACGATATTGCCATTTTTAGCAATACGTGGCAGGAGCACTTGGCCCATATAGGAGCGGTTCTAGACAGGATTAAGGAAGCTGGTTTGACATTGAAACCGGCCAAGTGCAGCATAGGGATGGCCGAGGTGCAGTACCTCGGACATAGAGTGGGTTGCGGCAAACAGAAGCCCGAACCAGCCAAAGTAGAAGCCGTGGCCCAGTGGCCCACTCCTAGGACTAAAACCCAGGTGTTAGCCTTTCTAGGGACCGCTGGGTATTACAGAAAGTTTGTCCCTAACTATAGCGCCCTCGCCAAACCTCTCACTGACCTTACTCGGAAGAATTTGCCCCGCCAGGTGACCTGGACCCCGGAGTGTGAGCAGGCATTCCAACATCTGAAAAATGCACTGATAAATGCTCCTGTCTTGGCAGCTCCCAATCCAACTAAACGTTCACACAGACGCTTCTATGTTTGGATTGGGAGCAGTACTGAGCCAAGTCGGAGCCGATGGCGGAGAACACCCCGTGGCTTACATCAGTCGCAAGCTGTTACCCCGAGAAGTAAGCTACGCCGCCATCGAGAAGGAATGCCTGGCTGTGGTGTGGGCCTTAAAGAAACTGCAGCCGTATCTATATGGACAGCCCTTTTCTTTACTCACGGTTCACAACCCGCTGGTATGGCTAAACCGGGTGGCTGGGGACAATGCCAGGCTACTGCGCTGGAGTTTGGCGCTGCAGCCTTTTGACTTTAATATTCAGTACCGCCCGGGTTAACAGAATGGGAATGCCGACGGGTTGTCGAGACAAACTGACCTGGAAAAATGATCCGTGAGTCCCCGGACATCCCCAAGCCGATCCGTGTATGCCGGCTTGTGGGCAAGGGGGAGCAGTGTAGCGGATCGCACTGGGCTGTCCTGCAAATGTCCTTGAAATATTTGCATTCGTGTATTCTGCTAGTTTTCCATGTGTTTTAAAGCCTTGTATTCTTTTGATTGTTCGGTAGTTTCATTCCCTTAGTTTATTCGAATGAAACTACCGAACAACCAGACCTCCCCTGTGTAAAGTGTGTCCTCAATTACCCGTTGCAACATTGTTGTGAACGGGTAATTGACTAGGAAGTAGCCGTCCTTTGTTCTCGGGGGTGGCCGCCATTCGACAAACGAACACGTGGCGGCGGCCATTTTAAAACTCCCGAACAGCGGTGTTTTGCCGTCGAGTGTCTGGAACTAAAATCGGACACTCGAGTAGGCGAACACCGCTGAGACCTCCACAGCCCTGGTCCGTTCGGTTCCAAACTACCGAACGGCCCCTCGTTCGGTAGATAGAAAATATCGAACGAGGGGATTCAGGCGAACCCTCCCTAGCCTCTATAGCTAGAGGTTTTCGTATATTTTATTCCCTTATGCCAGGACCGACCGCAGGGCCCATTCACATGGAACCGGATTCGGCTATCTCTGTTCGTGCGGTCGGTCACTTTATTCCCTCCATACTTTTCCCGAACCCCTGGTCTGATCTGGGTGATTTTTGGATATGTTGGTCACCCAGATCAGGGCTACCAGGGGATGTATGATTTAAATGGGTACCCCTACGTTTAGGGGTACATCCAGAAACGGGGGGAATTGGTGTGCTGGATAAAGGGATTATGATGCTGGCTGAGGGGAGGGGATGTGTGGGAGGTTACCAGGACAGGATTGGCTACTGTAATAATTACTGTAAATCCCTCCCTTGCATGGGAGCATGCTTTATAAGGAGACTGTGATTAAAGGCTTGTCAGTTCTGCTCCTGAAACTATGTGTCGTCCAGTTATTGGGATTGCTGTGGGGATATTGCTGCTGTTTTACCTGCTGGAAACTTTGCCTATGGATTTATTATTTACTTGTTCCTGAGCCTCACTTGGATTATAAGCGGAGATAACCTGGGGAATATTGCATCTCCGCTACAGTCGGTATAAGGTGTGGTTCATGACCCACGGTTGTTGTGAGCCCCGCACCGTCTCCCGGCCCCCGGCCCTCCCGGAGTCCCCCCTACGGTTGTGCGCGGTAAGTACACCACGGTGCCCAGGCTTCAGCGTGTTGTGCCTCCCTGCCCGTCATCCCCGCCTTCAGAGCCTCCGCTGCCCTAATGTCCTCAACTCGGTGGATCCATTCCTCCCTTGACGGGATGTCTGGTTTCTTCCAGTATACCGGTATGAGCGATTTGGCTGCGTTCAGTAGGTGGCGCAGGATAGATTTTTTGTACGTGGACAGTGGTCGTGTGGAGATGTGTAGCAAGGCTAGTTCTTCTGACCATTCAAGGTCATCTCCCAGGATTAATTGTATGTCCGATTTGATCCGGTCCCAATACGGGACAATGTGTTTACATTCCCACCATATGTGGTATATGTTCCCCCGTTCCTCCTGGCATCTCCAACATGTTGGTGGCGTAGTGGGGAAAATCCTATGTAGTAGTACAGGCGTTCGGTACCACATGGAAAGTAATTTGTAGTTCACCTCTTGATAGTGGGAGCTGGAGAAGCTTTTATGCTGCCATATCAAGGCCTTGTCCCATTGTGCTGTCGTAAAGGATTTAGCCATGGCTCGTTCCCAGTGTCGTTTGAAGAGGTTGTTTTCTGAGGCGGGGCTGGTCAGTATGTATTGGTAGAGGTTCGAGATAGCTTTCCCTAGTGACGTGCCATTGGAGCAGAGTTGTTCATACAATGTGAGGTCTCTTCGTAGCTTTTCTTTGTGTGGGATTGAGTTGAAGTAATGTTTCAGTTGCATGTATCGAAAAACCGCCATGTGTGTGCGTGGTCGTGATTCCAATAGCGCGTCCAGAGTTTTCAGGGCGCCGTCCCGAACGACCTTATGTATTGGGATGTAGTCTGCTTCACCTAAGAAGGACCAGGCGTCTAGCGGTAGTCCGCCTCCTATACCGGGATTATGAGTAATCGGCAGCAATGGACAGGGGGACTTGCGGTGTTTCCCTGAGCTGTTCCCATGTGAGGAGTGTTTGTGTAACTGGATCATCGTCTCCTCTTTTGTTGCCCCTCGTCGCCCGTCTTTTCCAGATTGCCGCTTTCAGTTTTGCAACATCACCCTCCCGGTCCAGGATCACCCATTGTTTGGTCGTCTCTAGTTCGTGCCATTCCAGGATTCGTTGCAGCGTCGCTGCTTGGTGATATTTTTTAAAATCGGGCAGGGCTAAACCCCCCCTATGTCTGGGCGTGCACAGTATGTCATGGCATATCCTGGATCTTTCTCCCCTCCATACGAACCTAATGACCTCTGATTTTAGGGTCGAGAAGAATCTCGCCGGCGGAGTCATCGGTATAGTTTGGAACAGGTATAGAGCTCGTGGGAGAACGTTCATTTTAAGGACCGCTATCCGGCCGTGCCATGTGATGTGTGGATAGGACCATCTTTTCAGATCGGATTCAATGCCGTGCAACAGGGTCATGAAGTTGCGTTGGTATATGTCCTGTGGGTTTGTAGTGATCCATATTCCGAGATATTTCATTGCTCCTGTACACCATCGAAATGGGAAGAGTGGGCCGAGGGCTACGTATTCTGCCGTGGGGATGGTGAGGTTTAGTGTTTCACATTTTGCCAGATTGAGTTTAAACCCTGAAATTCGGCCGAATCTGTCCATCTCGGAAAGTATGCACGGCAGTGTGATCCGGGGTTGGGAAACAAAGAACAAAAGGTCGTCCGCATATGCAGCCACCTTATGTTCTGTGTCCTGCCAGGTGTAGCCGTGTATGTCCTGACGATCCCGGATCACTTGTAGGAGTGGCTCCAGAGAGAGTGCGAAAAGGAGCGGTGACAGAGGGCAACCCTGTCTGGTTCCGTTTGCAATTCCAAAACTCGTGGTCAGCGATCCATTGACTCGTACCGTCGCCCTCGGTGTACTGTATAGGGCAGTAATCCACGCCATGATTTTCTGTCCAAAACCCATAGATCGCAGGGTTTGGAACATGTATTCCCAGTTAACTCGGTCGAATGCCTTTTCGGCGTCTGTGGACAGTAACAGGAGTTGTTTCCGGAACTTCCGTGCATGATGTTGTATAGAAAAGAGGCGTAACGTGCTGTCTCGTGCCTCTCGACCTGGGATAAATCCTGTCTGATCCGCGTGAACAAGGCTTGGTAAGGTCCTTTGAAGTCTAGTTGCCAATACTTTCGTCAGGAGTTTAGTGTCCACGTTCAGCAGAGATATCGGGCGGTAACTGCCACATTGTTCCGGATCCTTTCCGGGTTTGAGCAAGACCGTGATTGTTGCCGTCAGGGATTCCATTCCAAAGTGTTCCCCCTCCGCAACTTTGTTGACAGCTTTCGTTAGCCATGGTAGGAGTATCGTAGAGAAGTGTTTATAATACCCTGTGGAGAACCCGTCCGGTCCTGGAGCTCGTCCCGTTTTCGTGCCCTTCAACGCTGCAGCTAGATCCTCCGCGCCAATCGGTTCGTCGAGCATATCTGCTGCCTCAGGGTTCATCCGTTTCCGCACGTTATCTTGCAGGTATGTTTGTATGAGTAATGATGATTCCCGTCTATGTGCTGTGTTCTCCAATGGACAAAGGTTGTAGAGGGAGTTGTAGTATTCCCGGAATATGGTGATATGTTGCCCGTTGACAAGCGGAGTTTTCTCACTTGAGTGCGTGGCGTCTCTCCCTTCAAGAGGCGGGCGAGGAATTTCCCACCTTTGTTTGCATGGGTGTAAAAGAAGGATCTCGATCTTTGAAGTGAACGGTGGTATCGTTGTGTGAGTAGGGCCTTCAGAGTTCGTCTAGCTTCCATCAGTTCACCGTACGTTGAGGTTAGTAGGGAACGTTTGTGTTGGGATTCTAGGCGTGCAATGGATTTATACGCCTCTGCCATCGCCCGGCTTGATTCCTTCCTTTTGCGAGATGCGATGTCAATAAGGGTACCGTGGATGACACTCTTATGGGCTTCCCACACCGACACCGGAGAGATCTCGTCTGTTCCATTCTCAGCAAAATAGTGTTCCAATGTCTGCGAGACTTCCCCTCTTACCCCAGGGTCTTGGAGTAGGGATTCATTTAGGCGCCACGTCCATGTTGCGGGTTTAAACAACGGGGATTCCAGTTCGACCCGAACTGAGCCGTGATCTGACCAAGTGGCCGGTTCTATAGAGGCTGTCCGTAGGCGGGAGAGCCCTTCTTGTTTGACGAATATGTAATCTATGCGGGAATAGCGGTTGTGGATCACCGAGTAATGCGTGTAGTCCTTGGTAGACGGGTGAAGCGTCCTCCAGCAGTCCACCAATGCTAGCTCCCCTAGCGAATTGCGAATGGCCCTGATGCGAGACTGTGAGAGGCAGCTATGGCCAGTGGATGAGTCCATGATAGGATCTAAGGGGGCGTTGAAATCTCCCCCCACTATCAGTGCTCCCTCTGAGAATCCGTGCAGTTTGTTTAGCGTCCCACGCAGGAATTGTGCTTGCTTCGAATTGGGGACGTATATGGTCGCGAGCGTGTACATTCTGTCTGCTATCATTCCTTTCAGAAAAAGGAAGCGTCCTTGATCATCAGTCAGTCTGTCCAATTCCTGGAAGCCTAGGTCTGCGGCAAGTAGTATCGCAACCCCCGCCCGGCGGGCAGTCGGGTGATTGTTGCAGTAGTGCAGCGGGTGGTGAGCACTTCGGAGTGTGGGGGCGGCATTCTCCCTGAAGTGGGTTTCTTGTAGCATCGCTATCGATATGTGTTTCTGTCGTAGGATTCTTAGTAGGTGAGAGCGGCGTTCCGGTATATTCAAGCCTCTGCAGTTGAGGGTCATGACGGACAGGGGGGCGCGATTATACGCCATAGCTTTCTCTGTGGTCGTATGTTCCGGCTCCTAGGGGGGTGTCCAAGCGGGGCGGGCGGCCAGGGAGACGGTGTCAGCTAGTGAGGCCGTATACGTGTCTGCGAGGTATAGCGTCTTATGCGTCCGTATCAGTGCTAGGTATGTGGGGAGTCAAACGTCCCGTGAGCTATCTGTCTCGTCCAGGAGGCGTCCCCCTACGTTGTCCGTATCAGGTCGGAACACGTGTCGCAGCCGCGAGGGTTGGTGTGAATGTAAGTGAGTGTGTGAATGTATTTAGGGAAGGTATGCGTATGGTGTCGGTAGTAGGAGAATGTCGAGTGTATGAGTAAGGATAAAATAAAATAAGGGAGGGCCGAGTGGGCCACTCCTGTGGGGTATGTCCCCAGCGGGGTGAAAGGTGGGTGTTACCCCGAGATCTCCTACAAGAGGAGAGTCACTTGCGTCTCAGCAGGAGTGGCCAGGTGTCACCCCGATAACCAGATCGGTGTGTGAACGATCCTGTGGCTCCCCTGAGGGTTCTGCGCAGGTGAGAGTGTAGAGCAGTGGTGGGAGTCCAAGCCCGGGTTGATGTGGTCTGTGTGTCGTGGGTAGGTCTAGTTCCCGCCTATCCCGCTCCATCCAGTGCCCAGCCCGAGTGTGTATAGTCGTGGGAGGAGCAAACATTCAGGGGATCAAACAGAGTTATGGCATGACGAACATTATGGGTTTAAACAATAACAGTATGTGCAACAGTAATAACCGGTAGCGCCTATTATCTACCACCCCCCCAGTATTCCCCACTAGGAGGTCTATCCACCCCCTCCGCCCCGGGGTAAGCCCCCCATAGAATTTGTGTCCCCCACCCGTTTCCCGAGGTGTGCCCTGAAAAAATACAGTGACCGCAGGTCTGCCTGGGTACGCATTTCGGGTTTAACAAGAAAATCTAGTCACTATGTCCCTGTTCCTCGTGTTGTGCGCTATGTTCGGGGCTAGGTGCGGGAGAACCCTGAGCGCCATCCCTCTGGCTCTTACTGGAGGCAACCAACTTCCTAAGGTTCCCATGATGGTGTTCCAGTTGCCCCTATAAACCTCATGACCCCGTTCACAACTCACATACCCATCAGACCCTCCGGTATATTCTGTCCCCTCAGGAGGTATAGCCGGAATATCAGCAATAGCACGCATAATAGATAACAAAGGAGGAAAAACAATTAAGCGGCACAGTTTCAACTTAGGGGGGGATTTTAACTGCATCCAGGATCCAATACTAGACTCTACCTCTGACAAAACACCCACGAGACTCAAAACAATGTCAAAATTAGCCAGACAATTAACCGCCCTCTTCCACTCTTAAAATCTCTATGATGTATGGAGGACTAAAAACCCATCAGACAGGACATACACTTACTACTCATCTGTACACAACTGCTACACTAGAATAGATGCCACGTCAAAGGCACACACTTAACACAGGTCTTGGACTTCAGGACGGGAGACATTGAGTGGTCAGACCACGCTCCGGTAATCCTTACGATCGCAGATAAATTCGCCTTCAAAAATAAACCCCCATGGCGAATTAACAAATAAAACAGGCCACCCACATCATGAGAACCTCCCAGTCCAAACTCCAGGAAAGGAGTGAGAAACTCAGACAGCTCAATAACCAAAACCAAATAAAATCTTCCAAACACCTTAGGAAACAAATAATGCAGACCCAAATTAGTCCGTCACTGGACCTACTCCACACAGGCTGCCTACCATATTTACAGCTGAAATCCCTACTGAAAACCATTAACCAGGCAGGATCTCTCAACCCGCCAACAGTACAAACCATGACCATTATGGAGAAAATGTGCGTAGGACTGATACCAAAAGAGAAGGTAATAGCGACATGTTATGATGTAATTCTGAGGGATGGCAAACTCCCTATGCCTAAATATACCACAGACTGGGGAAGAGACCAGGGTCGTACTATACCTGGCGCTGCATGGACTGGGGCCTTCAAGGTACATAAAAAAAAATACACAAGATGCAATTCCCACGTAGAATTGATACGGAAAATAGTCACCAAATGGTACTTAACACCAGCAAGGTTAGCACATATGTTCCCAAACACCTCTGGCAAATGTTGGCGATGCACCACAGATAAAGGAATAATGTTCCATATCTGGTGGGAATGCTCGATAATCAAACCCTTCTGGGAGGGAATAGCCAAGCTAATTGGGGAAGTATTACACAAACCAATTCAGAAATCAGTGGAATTCTTCCTGCTGTTCATGTTTCCTGAACACCTCACAAAACCACAAGGGACCCTGGCATTCCACATATTCAGCAGCGAACTTGCTATTAGCTAGGAGGTGGAAATCCACTATAGCCCCTCTCCTCCCCCATAGGGGAAGTGATCCAACCGATATCGCTTAACGGCCAGTATGAAAAGATGGCTCACAAGAGTTCTGATAGACACAACAAAAAACTGGCTACATTGGGCAAATGGAAGGAATGGCTGGAGGGGAATGCGTAAATAAGTACTGCAGCCCCAGACATATCAACCCCATGACAGGGGATCCGTAGTCACAATAGAAACCTTCCACCTAAAAAGCCTGAAATGAGCAAAACCCACAGGGACACTCACCAATGCCACCTACCCCCACCCTAACCAACTAAACCTTCCTCCCTATACTCTTTCTCCTCTCTATAGGAGTCCTTACATCCAGTCCAGAGCTGGAAAACCCAGTGTCCACACAGGCAGCACTACACAAGGGGTTAAAGCACCCAAACGTTGCTCCATAGTAGTCTTCAGGGAATATACCTACATAGGGCGACACGTAGGCTGCGGAATTAACCACCAACAAAGAAGTATCTTAACCACATACAGGTTGGGCTAGTTCACCATACACAGAAAGTACCAAAAATGTACATAAAATTTGTATATCCAAAAGGTAATGCAATGACATTGCATTGTATATATGCAACCACTGTACCAAAGCATACTGCCGTTTTACTGTTTGACTGCAATGTTTACAGAATCCAGTAGAAATTGACACTTTTATAAATTTACCTGGTTACAACCCCTGGCTTTCACGCAGACAACAGATAATGTTACTTCCTGGTTTGATTAACTCAGTGACGCTAAACTGAAGAGGCAGCAATTGTTCAGAGCACCTGCCTTGCAAAGACTTCTCATTGAGCTGCATTGGGAAGTCTGTAATTGGACAGCCACAGAAAGTCTGGGAGGAGTTAGAAGGGGAGGGTTTGCAAAGGCAGCAGACAAGAGAACTGCAGGTTTTGCAACCTGGTTTTAGATTATAGCTGACAGAGGTATATCTACTAAACAGTGATTTTTAGTTATTTGGGCAGTGGAGTGTTAATCTTTCATGGACAGCCATCCCACAATAGATTTGCTCCCATTAGTCCAACTTAGGTCCATACACTCCATTTCCCCTGCATAACTTAATAGAACAAGAATATGGTGGGGGCAATACTACTAGAAACAGTATGGGTGCCTGGATTGGCCCTTCAAATACCTACACAAACATATACTGTATTATAAACGTGCAGTGAATCAACATACAAGCATGTGTCATATTTCAACGTAAATACGTGCAATTTTACATGTATAACGCAGTTGGCAAAAGATTTGACTCTTCACAATCGTTTTTTTTTTTTTCTCATGATTTTATTATGAATCAAAATACATAAAGAAATATAATTTTCACAAAAAATAGATATATTAACTAATAGGCAGAGAGTTGTGCAACATTTTGCTCCGCAGTGACTAAAATGCCAACCGTGCAATCAGTAATAAAATTATACACAGACCAGAGAGATGAGCATCATCACAACATACCGATCAAATAATTATTTAAAAAGGAAATTTAAGGCAATGGGGATTTATTCACTAAATCGGTAATAATGGAAAATGAATAAAGGAAATGCAAAACTAAGGACAAAAACATCCAACTCAGGAAATACAGCAGAGGGGGATGTTTTCACAACTTTGACCTAGAGGTGAATTTCTACTTACCGGGGCAAACTTTTTATTTGCTAATGGCTACTGGTGATGGTGAATGGAAGATTTTAACTCCATCCATCTTTCAGCTGTCAGTATACAGAGAAATACACATGAGCACTTAGCTACTGCTGGAGACTTTAAATCCTACAGGACACACACACACGCTTGTATACATACTTGTTTATACACATACACACTTTAAAAAAAATATTAATGTTAGAGAAACATTAAATTTGCCCTGGATGTGCTGCGATAAGCTCCATTAAATATGATGTTACAGACATCCAAATAGATCTGCACCATGGTAACATGAATTGCACATAATATCACAAAACTCAATTACCAAGCAATGATTATGCTCTCCATGGCAATGCAGGACACACATACAATACTTCAGGGCTCTTTTGCGTAAAATGTTCACCTCATTAAAATAGAGATATGGCAAATTCAATGTCTCACTTTATACTCAGACCTTAAACAATGTGCAAAGCATCAGACTGGACATATCATCAGATCAGGTGAATGAATACGCCAACTTTGTCTTTTTATATTAAGAGAAAAACAATAATCTCTTCATCGGGTAACTTCATTTAGAAAGGTCAACACCTAAAACATACTTATTGTGCTCTACATCATGTTGATGCAGCAAGTTCACAAAAAAGACACATAGTGAGTTGCGATTGCATTCTTCAAAGGATTACTAATAGTGATGTCCCGAACTGTTCGCCGCGAACTCCAGTCAGCTGACACATTCCAGCCAATCAGCAGCAGACCCTCCCTTCCAGACCCTCCCACCTCCTGGACAGCATCCATTTTGAAGCTGCATTCTTAGTGAGCTGTCCAGGAGGTGGGAGGGTCTGGGAGGGAGGGTCTGCTGCTGATTGGCTGGAATGTGTCAGCTGACTGGAGTCCGCGGCGAACCGTGGCAAACAGTTCGGGACATTACTAATTACTAGCTTACAATATTTTGATTGTTTCTGCATTTATAGACTGCATAGAAAGTTCTCATTATGAAAAGACGTTGTACTTTAGAAAACGCAGAAGAATGTAAGAAAGTGTCACTATAAATGGTGACTTCACCTGGTCATATAAGCAACTGACATATCTTCAACCACCAGAAGTCTGCAAGCCCATGACATACTTGAAAACGAGAGAAATCTCAATCTTAATAATAAAATACTAATCAAATAAACTAAAATGTAGGCTCAGTGTCCACATTTCTAATAAGTATCACCTCCCATGTTTCCTGTTAAACCCATAAATAAGTATAATTATATCCAAGCATTTAAATCCATTTGAATACTGGAAAGTAATTTAATAAAATATGATTGTTCCTCTGTGCATTAAGTTATGTGAAACAATATAAATTAAAAAAAACTGTAAATAAATAGATCTCTTTAATTGAGCTTCACCACAAGTAATTCCAAAAAGTCAGGTAGATCACACACCATGAAAGGTAGAACTGAGAGCATCGGGCAGTCGTGTGCAAGTTGACAGTTAAATTATCATTGATAAAAAAAAAGTAATGCTATTTGCAGTTTTCATGTCATTTTCAGTGGAGACTTCTTGTGCGCACAGAGTAAGGTGACATAAGGTACCCCAATGAAAGCCCACTTCTCACTAGGCCAGAACCTGATGACGGGCCCCTGTTCTGGGATTTCAGATGCAGCATCAAAGTACGCAAAGCATACACATCCCAGATATGCAGCAAGGCAGATTAGGATATGCCTGTAAGGGAAAAGATAAGTGATTAGCAGTGTTTGTAGAGTCTCCTAATCAGCACACACTGAAGACTTCCTCTGAGCCCAAGTGATGTCCTTATTTACATCAATGTCTCTGCATTTACACACTTTGGGAAGTATACAAGGTATAAACTATTCTACATGTAGCAATTTACAAAAACAACTTTCATTGGAAAAATTGTAACAAAAGTATCTCCGTATAGAAAACGTATATAGTCACAGATGTAGCATAAACGTACAGAATCTACTGACGATAGATAATAGGAAAACCAAAGAGCACAATTAACATGAAGATTAAAAGGTTGTTTACTGCGTAAGTGAAAGTGGTCATATATTGAATGCAGCTATTTCCTATCAATAAATTAAGTTAGAATTAGCAATTTTATTTTGTTTTATAGAATTATTTTATATTTCTCTGACTCATAGGGGGAGATTAATAATTTTTGTTTTGTTCTAAAAAGTGCTCTAAGGTGCTAAAATTGGTGATTCCTTCTTTTTACATTTTTAAAACAGAACATTTTAATAATCTCCACTCTCTTCTTTTATATTTAATGTATTTACATATTTCTTTAAAAAATCAGTACATCACCCACCAAACATCACCTCTCTTGGCCCAAACCCGCATTACTTTCTAGAATGTATATATGTTTGAACTAGCTAGTTGAGCTTTGTCTTAATGTATGTGCTAATTTAATCATTCTAATGCTGTCACACCCCCCAGAAGCTGTTCATTCTTTATAAATAAAGGAATATGAAAATGTTTTTTTTAAATCACCTTTAGGTTTGAGAACAACCTTGTGTCCATGTGTGGACAACCTTCAGCAACTGGGTACTACAACTCAAAGCAGCTGGCAGGCCAGACCCTGTGTGCTGTGGTTGACATGGGCTCTGCTTACAATAATATCACTTGTATGCCCACAGTCTTTCTGAATACATTTAGTGCCTAGCTGATACTGTTAAATATTTCTATTATAACAGTAAAGCTAATTCATTTTATTTATTGATTGCTTTAGCCAAAAAAGTAACTTTATGCTCATACATGACAGTGAAAATTATTATTAATATTATTGTTATCATTGGCATTTATATAGCCCCAACAAATTCCGTAGCACTTACTACGTTACAGTTTTGTTACGTAGATATCAGTTTCTTAAAAGTCAACTCTATGCACCAAAACCCACTACAGCTTAATATAGTGCTCAGGTGCCTACATGCAGTCCCTTTACTGTGACATACATACGCATTTGTGAAATAGCCAATGTTTACATTTATGAGTTTGTGTCTGTGTTGTGTGCCTCAAGTGACTGTCAATCCAAAGAAGCTATGGAGATACATTTGGTTGGTCATTGTGAGATCCTCCGTCCAAAATGATGGTAGAGTAGAGAACATGGCTAGAGCAGATAAGTTTTTCTTCATTACTTTATTGCAACATAATATATATATATATATATATATACACATGTATGCAATTATAATGTTAAAGTCAAGAAAAGAGAAGGAAATCCTAAAAAATGTGTGAGGAAAAGAACAAATACTACCAATACTATGTGGAATGGGAGGGTAATCTCTACATTTTTCATACACAAGAGAAACTGAAGACTCTTCATGAACTTTTATAGCTAGTTTGAGATTAATTAATTGTCATGGGAAGAAGCTTACCAAACACAGTGGAGGTAGGGGAAGTTGAAATATGACCATAATTCACAGAAGGCCTTGTCACTGATCCAACAGACTAACGCCAACATCCACCAGCACCCAGACATCAAACCTAGCTTGTACACTCGCATATTGTCACATCTGCAAAAGCAAAATAAATAAATATAGGTATGCACAAAGTAAAAATGACGCTATTTCAAATATATATATATATATTACACACATACAGTTTGGTAGACGTTTTGCACTCCAGTCTTCCTCCATATATTGGCCCGGTGCTCAGCTGCACGAAAATACAACCTCCTTGAAGTGTGTGTGTGTGTGTGTGTATGTATGTGTGTGTGTATATATATACACATACACAATTATAATCAGAATTATTCAAAGTCCATTAAAAACCAGGTTTATTGTCAAAATTGACAGACTTTCAGCTGTTTGCAATGAACAAATCACATAAAAACACCTCAACACAATGAATGCCTCAAGTGGTTTCCCCAAATTCAACTTAAAATGCAACTAATAATGACTTCACCAGTCTCAAAATTATGATTGCCACTGTAGGTATTAGGTTAAGGAAACCCATGGTTACAGGTTGCAGTTAATGAGCAAGACTTGCTTTTAAGTTGACTTTTTTTGTTTTGTGTTAACTTCTTTGTATATGAAAGATATCACATAAATCATATAACGTGTATAAGAAAACATGACAGACAATAAATTATATTTGTCCCTTTTAATATAATGTAATAGAAATACAGGTCAAACAACTGACCTAAAATAAGGTCAAGGAGAAACAGGAGTAAAGAATAGGAAGCGACTAAGAGAGGACTGAAGAGGAAGAAAGGTATTTCTCCAAAGGGTGAATGGATCACCCATGCCTCCTGTATGCCTCCTTGTCTTAAGTTCATGTTTTAAACACCCAATACCTTTTAACATTCCCCCCTTTTAGACATTTTGCTGCAATATCTTCATTTTAACATTACTACTGGGGTTAAACTTGATTTATCTCTTACGCCTTGTTTCCACTGAGCGCAATGGTTCGGGTCGGTACGGTTCGGAAGGGTTAGAATGGTCCAGCCTAGTCAGGTGAAAGTTTCCACTGCAAGTCGGACCGCCAGGGGGCATGCGGGGTGTAGACCAAATACCAAGTGTCATTTGTCGTGAGCATTGATGTTTTCCTTTCCGCCAATCAATGGATTGTATAGTGTGACGCCAGTAGCTTCGCCCTAACCGTACCGTACCATTTCCTATGGACCTACATCTGGAGGGGGCCCAGGAATGGCGCGGTTTGGTTCGGTTGTATGGGCCACTTTCATAATGGAAACACTCAAAATAGCGTACCAGACCGTACTGACCCGAACCGTACCGCTCAGTGGAAACTGGGCATAAGAGATCCGTGGAAATATTCTAAACACCTTACTAAGTAATATAAAGGCATCTGAGTTTTGTGATCATGTGTTTATCTACCTGTGATGAGTTTGCCTGATGAGCAAATATTTAGGCAAAAGTGGCCAACTGAAATCAATATCCAAATCAGCTGAGAGTACTCTGGGCTCACTGACCCTTTGTAGGATGCTATTTTAAAAGAACCTTATTTAACAAGGCAAAAAAGGTACTAGTCTGTGTCACACTGCACTATGCACCTTGTTTGTCTGATAAAAGGTCCAGTGCATTCAAAGCATGCAAGAATATAGTCTACAAAAAAAACTGTCCAACTAGGGGTCAAGAGATACTTTGGGGCGAACAGCTATCTGTGGCAAGTAAATTATAGGTATTACTAGTAATCTAAGATTTGGATATTGTCGGTCTAATACGACATACACTTGTTTAATACTTTTTTGAGTATTGACTGTATTTCTCATGTTTGCTCCAGGCGTAATTCTTTATACATGACTCCCTGGAAAGATTTTTGCATTGGCCTTATTTAACAGTGCTGGAAGGCACCCTCCAGTTATCGTATAAACAGCAATTAACTTTTCATACCCATACTTTTCAAAATGTTATCACTGTGTGCCAGGCTAATTCTCACAGTATGTATAGCATTTGATCGATAAAGGGATGGATACCAACTGTGTCTGCAGATTTCTGGGAAGAAGACATGTGGTTTTTAAACAATAAAATGAAAAGAGACCAAATCTGGAACTTGTATTTCCTCTAATACTGGACTACATGATAATTCAACTGCAATTAAACAATGAAAAGGATTTCCTTTTATTCTGCACAGACCCAAAAAGGCCAAATTATAATTTTTTTAAAAGCTGTGCCATGGGAAAATTTAATTGTATGATGTCTTGGACACTAAATAGGTCATGATATGTTTAGTGAATTATACATTATTATTTATGCGTTTAGTGTATAAACCCTTAATGCATTATTTTATAATAGTACCCCAATGAACATACAATTACTAAAAACGGTTAGTGTTTTCTAATATAAATTATGTTAAATAAAACAGTTGATAATATTATAAAGAAGATGGTTCAAAGTATCAGGTATGGCATATAAAAAGGACATATAGCAAACCATTAAAGTCCCATCATACCTAGTAAAAACATTTTTTTTTTAAAGGACTATATTGTGGGGGGGGTGGAAACTCCTGGAAATAACAAAAAACGCCTGAATAATAGATTTAAGTTGGCATCTTGAGGACTCTGCATAGACTGAGCTTGCAGAGAGGGAAAATACCTTATAAAGGCTTTAACGTGCTATGCAATGTCAGTCAAAGTGATATACTTGGTTGGCTTGAAAACCAACCAATCAGAGTACTTTTTTTTTTTTTTTTTTTTAATTTGTTTAATTTTGGTTTTAAAGAAAATCCGTTTTAAGAAAGAAAAAAGGCATCTCTTGTATAATTTTTTTTAACACAAATTTTGTTTATTGGGACCCTTCAGTCAGTATTATTAGAGTGAGCAGGGTAGGCAAGTATTTTTAATGAGGGTAGCTAGAGGCATGGGGACCCCGTGCCACTGAAGGGGGTATTTAAACTGTCCACAAATGTCCATTCCCTGTGTATTCCCATGTATATTATATTATTAGCTCCCACCCGTCTTCTATGGGTGGGTTATTGGGAGACACACTAGGTTCCCCTGGTTTATATTAAATTAATAGCCTGGCTGTCACCAGTGTATAAGGGCTGGGGGTGCACTAGATCCACCCAGTAATATTTATTTAATAGCCCCAACCCATTGTCAATGGATGGAGGATGTGAGAACATAGGTCCCCCCATTTATTTATAACTTAATAGCCCACATTCAATGCCCATGGGTGGGAGTCTAGGGAACATGAAGTCCCCTGAGTTATTACAATTAGATCCACCCACTTGCCGCTCCTCAGTGGGAACTTGGTCTTAGTCCCCCCATTCAGTTTAATTAATGGCGCCAATGACCAATCGCATCTCTATGAGGAGATGTTAATTGGCCAGTTCAGAGTTTGGCTCCACCCCCTGCCCTGCCTCTTTGGCTGAGAGTATCAGAAGTGAATCCAATGCTTTCATATGAATTCACTTTGTATTCTAACTTTAGCAAATAATCATGGCGGCAGTGGGGAATACTATGCCCCCACTTTATTATTTATAGCTCTATCATAGGGGCACATGGACCTGTGTCTTATGAACCTCCTAGCTCAACGTGTATCCCTTTAAACAGACATCAAGTCATGTTTGCCAGGATAGATGCACGTAAAACATTTGATGTGTTTATTTAAATTAACAATTTACACCAGAGAGCAGATAATTAGCTTGGATTTCTTTGTTATGTGGCTATGCTTTATAAAAGTTTTAGATTTATTTACTTGCATTGTTATTACACAAAAGTATTGTAATTAGTTCTAAGACTGAACTATAGATTTTGACAATATAATTACTTTTTTCCCTAGACTAGATGTAGGCAACCTTTGGCACTCCACATGTTGTAGACCACAGATCTCATAATGCTCTTAATGATGGAAAGTAGTCCACAACTTCTGAAGTGCCGAAGGTTCCCTTCCCCTGCCCTAGACTAAGAAACAACATTTTGACAACTGATTGTATATCACCCATCATCCATTTTCCCGGATGTATGTAAAGCAGACAGACTGAAGACCCAGATTAGAATATAATCACAAGTCAGTTTTCTAGGAAACATGATTTGACAAGGCTCTAACAATGACAATGCTAAAACTCTGCTACATATCCACATCCACACAACTGGGCAGAGTGGAAATGTGCACAGTGCAAATAAAATGTTTGTACACATTACAGAACTTGTAAGACTGTACGTTTAGGGGCAGGTGTTACACAAGCACTTAAATGGCCTTACGTCTTAAAGAAGCCTTTGCTGCACACAGTACTTTTTGCCATTTTTAGTACATCAAATTCAGTCATGATTGCCTTAAATTATTAGTTTGCAGTTTGGCAATCAGCAGACCGATCCTATACAAATTGTATATAATTTTTGAAGGTATTAATCCCATTTCCAAGTGGGACCCATTAGTCTTACTAAGCAAACAAAAGGGGAAAAAAAAGAGAAAACATACTTTGCTATAGTAGCACTAGCATGCAAGTTGAATACTACCACAAACACATTCATTTACATCTCTTGATATTGAAAATACTGCATATGTTCAAGGTTTAAATCTGTTTAGGACAATACTGGGTCCAAACATTTGGTTTACACCAGTCCTAGCTGACAAACGGCTCCTGTTAATATAAAACAACAAGACATAAAATGCTGTCTCTTTAAGGCCCACATAAATCATGGCAGTATGGTCATGTTAATGGACTAAAGCAGGCTTTCTCAAACTGCGGCCCTCCAGATGTTGCTGAACTACAACTCCCATGATTCTATGAATGAAATAGGCTAAGAATCATGGGAGTTGTAGTTCAGCAACATCTGGAGGGCTGGAGTTTGAGGAAGCCTGGACTAAAGGACCAACTGGGATCTCTGATTAACTATGCATTCCTGACACCAATGAGAGGCTCTACTGGTAGCCCTACAAACGCTGAATTTATCAGAGGGAGAGAGAATGAAACAGATTCAGGGTCATACACTAAAATATAACTTATGAGGAAGTGAAAGTGAAACACCCTAACTGAAAACATAACTGTTTTGAAGAATGTTTCCAACTAAGCTATTTTGGTGTAAACTTGAAATTAATTTTGAATACATGACAATTCACACTTTGGTGATTTGCCTGTATTACACAGGGGAATGTGAAGCTCAAACTAAGGTATCGGTAGTACCAGGGCCGCCGCCCCCAAAGTCCGCCCACAGGGCAGCTGCCCCAGGAGTCCGCCCAAAGGGCCGTCTCACCCGTACTGATTGTGGTGTGTGTATAGTGGATGCAGAGTGCGTGTATAAAGTGGATGCGGTGTGTGTGTGTATGTGTAATGCATGCAGTGTGTAGAGTGTATGCCGACTGTACATTTGTGCAATGTATAAAGTGTATATTAGATGCAGAGTGTGTGTGTTTGTGTAGTGGATGTAGTGTGTGTATGTGTGTTTGTGTAGTGGATGTATTGTGTGTGTGTGTGTTTGTGCACTGGATGTAGCATGTGTGCATAGCGAATGCAGAGTGTGTGTGTGTGTGTGTTTGTGTACTGGATGTAGTGTGTGTGTGTATTAGATGCAGTATGTATAGTACACAGTGTGCGTTTGTGCAGTGGATGTAGTGTGTGTGTGTATAGTTAATGCAGAATGTGTGTTTGTGTAGTGGATGTAGTGTTTGTGTGTATTTTATGTGGTGTGTATAGTGAATGCAGAGTGTGTGTTTGTGTGTATTTTATGCGGTGTGTGTGTGTGTGTGTGTGTGTAGTGAATGCAGGGTGTGTGTGTGTAGTGGATGTAGTGTTTGTGTGTATTTTATGCGGTGTGTGTGTGTGTAAAGTGAATGCAGAGTTTGTGTGTGGATGTAGTGTTTGTATAGTGAATGCAGTGAGTGAGGATGTAGTGTATGTGTGTGTTTAGTGGATGCAGAGTGTGTCTTTGTGTAGTGTGTGTGTGTGTGTGTGTGTATATAGTGACTGCACAGTGTTTGTGTAAGGATGTAGTGTGTGTATAGTGACTGCAGAGTATGTGTAGTGACTACAGCGTGTGTGTTTGTGTAAGGATGTAGTGTGTGTGTTGTGCAGTCAATGTAGTATATGTAGTGAATGAAGAGTGTGTTTGTGTAAGGATGTAGTGTGTGTAGTGACTGCAGAGTGTGTGTTTGTGTAGTGGCTGTATATTGACTGCAGAGTGTGTGTTTGTGTAGTGGTTGTAGTGTGCATAATGACTGCAGAGTTTGTGTAAGGATGTAGTGTGTGTAGTGACTGCAGAGTGTGTGTTTGTGTAGTGACTGCTAGTTTGTGTAAGGATGTAGTGTGTGTAAATGTTGTAGTATAGTGTAAAGTGTGTGTAAACGTTAGTGTATAGCAGTGGTAGTCAACCTTTTTCTACCTACCGCCTACTAATGCATCTTTCTTGATGGAAAATTTTCCTTACCGCCCACCAGTTTTAGGGTGTTTAAAAAAAAATAAATGTACATACATTTATCTTTTTATTTCTACTTAATGCATGTTTACAATGTTTTTAACTTTATAAAGTTTAATGAGAAAACAATAAAGTAAATTTAAATTACCTTTACTAGTGATTAATGAGATCCTTGAGGTTGATGCTGCAAGACTAAATATTTGATATCTGGTTCGATTTTCGTAGGGAACAAACGAAGGTCTCCTCTTTTGGTGATATTCAGACGACTTCTCTGTTTGCGCATAATATGATTTCTCATCTGTGTGTCAGCTCCCCTCCTCTCCCTCTTCAATTCCCCTCCCCACCTTTTTTTCCCCCTTTTGAAATTTTTTTTTTTAACCTTCCTTATAGCAAGGCCCAGTAGGAAGGCTGAGCTAGGTATCCCACTTACTATTACTTACTATAGCCCACTATAACAGACAGGCACACATACATACCTACATACATACAGACAGACAGGCACACACATTCATACAGACACACACAAGACACATACATACAAACAGACAGGCACACATACATACAGACACACACACACACACATACAAAGACACACACATAAGACATACATACAAAGACACATACATACACACATACAGACAGACACAAGACACACATACAAAGACACGTACATACACACACAACACATACATACAAAGACAAGACACACATACATATATATATATATATATATATGACATACAGACAGACACACACAAAACATACATACAAAGACACATACACACAACACATACAAAGACAAGACACACATACAAACACACACGACACATACAAAGACACACACATACATACAAAGACACATACAAAAACACACATACATACAGACAGAAACACACAAGACATACATACAAAGACACATACACAAACAAACACACAAAATATTTTAGTCACCCTCCTGTTTCCTACCTTTTCGGTGCAGGAGGGTGACTTTCCCTGGGGTCCAGTGGTGGCTCAGGTGGATGGTCTTCCTCCCGCACGGTCTGTGTGTTACCTGGGAGGAGTGACGTGCAGGGGTACCGCCGGCTCGCACCCACCCGCCCGCCCACCCAATCTCGCAAAATTAGAAAATCCCTACCGCCCACCTGGAATCCTGAAACGCCCACCTGTGGGCGGTAGGGACCAGGTTGATGACCCATGGTGTACAGTGTGTGTAAATGTTAGTATATAGTGTGTGTAAATGTATGGGGCTGTATAATGTGGGGTGAAAAGCCTACAGTATTTATTTATTTTTCTTCCATTTATTGTAATAAGTGTTATTTTATTTCGCCCTCCCTGCATTTTACCTGTGGCCAGGGAGGGGGGAGATCACATTTCCTGGTGGTCTGGTGGCATGGTGCGGGTCCCCCACTGCCTGTATTCTGCAGGGGGCCCAGCACACTCGAAATATACTTCCCCAACTGTTCTGCTCTGTCTAAGTCTTGTGAGGGCCGTAATCGTCAGTGTTGCCATGGGTTACCATGGCAACGCTCCGCATGGCTCGCATTGCTTAGACAGAGCAGAGCAGTTGGGAAGTATATTTCGATTGTGCTTGGCCCCCTGCTGAATACAGGTAGCGGGGGGCCCAAAGATGCAAATATAAATATATATATTATATTATATTATATTTATATATATATATATATATGCACCTAGGTAATGTGGGGCCTGGGATTCCCTGAGCAGTCTGGGTCCCCCAGGACCACCGTGCCCATGACAACCGTCATGGTTGTCATTCCCTGATGGCGGCGCTGGGTAGTACAAATATTTAGTACAAATGTTTAATTCCTATTGTAAATAGTTGGGGTCACACTTATGTCTTTTATTTAAAATGATAAGATATAGCAGGTGAATTAAAGGACCTTTCTGAGTACTATAACAACTTGATCGAATTTAAGTTGTTATGGTGCCAGGAGTACTAGGCATTCGCTTAACTTTAGGGGTTAAAACATTCACAAATGGTTTAACTTCAAAAGTACTGTTTCAAGCTGTTTTTTATAATTGGTGAGATACTAATTTGTTTAGAGAGTCAGCTGACCAGCTCTAAGCCAATCAGCAGAGCTCCTGCTCAATGGTGTCCGAACCTTCCATTATGAAGAATTTCAGAAAGGGCAGAGGGCAGAACAGAACTGCAGTGGGGCACAGACTTTGGGGCTAAAATGTTTGTGAACTACTTAACCTCTAAAGGAAAGCCAGCACCAGGGACCTCCTGGCACCATAAACACTTAATTTATATTAAGTTAATATGGTACACTGAGTGTTTTTTTAAAGAGTTTGGAAAGGATGGGATATGGTGGCAAGTGTCTAATAATGGCAATATCAAAATAAATAAAATCTTCATAAAGTTTTGAGATATATATATATTAATGGCCCATTATGTTCAACGAGTCACAAAAAAATATATATTATATAAATGGCACATATAATCATAACTATTACATAGAACAGACATGGGTAATTTTGGCACCCCAGATGTACTACATTTCCCATGATGCTAAGCATACACATTTTTTTGAATACCAAGATAAGATGTTTATTGAAGATATGTAACAGTGATCACCTTGCACAAAGCTATAAAGTATACAGCCACATCACTTGTTCTATTGGCAAGAAGTATATATTAATGTCACTTTCAAGGTTATTCAATATGCAGGGAATTTTAGCAAATAACCATGGCCGTGTGTAAAATATCCCACCTTTTGAGCTCACTAACGAGTAGAACGGTGCATGGAATTCCAAGCATCATTAACGATATGTTGTTGATTGCAGGCTTCACAAAAGCCATTACTGTGGTGACTGCAGAGAGTACACAGACTGCAGCTTTAAATCTCCACCTGCAGTGAAAGAGAGCACAAATGATGATACAATTGTAACATTCCTACCAGATCAGATATTCTGTCAGTGTATCATACATGGCAAATTAACTAAACTGTCACAATTTACTTTCAGAGACTTGGTAGGGATACTCCTTTAACAACTGGATTGTTCTGACAACACAAATCATAACTGATGTTTAAAACACAGACCTGTCATGCAGAAATTCTGTACAAATAAGCCTCTTCTGAACTAATCTGGAGTGGCAAAAAAGTCCCCTGAATAATAAGTATCTACATAATATATAATAACAGGTCCACTTTAATTTAAAAGTCTGCAATCAGAAATCAGTACAATAAATGACTCTACAGCAACACAAATTATTTTGGAAGGTAGACTGGTAGAGTAGGGGTCATCAATCTATGTACCGTGGGGCCTTAGAAGGCCAACCTCCTGCAATGTTCAGGATCGCTAATGCCCATGATAAATTCATGGGCATCCATCCATATGCACGATCTTAATAGTGATGCCAGCATCAGCATAACAACAAAGCATGGATGGGAGCTGTGATGGGAGCACATTGCTCCCAGCAGCCCTAATGTCCATTAGGGAGAGGATCCACTCCATAGGCTGGGTAGATTTCTTTAAATAAATAGACATTGTGTGAGTTTGTGTGTGTCTCTGAAATTGTATATATGTGTAAATGATAATCTGTGTGTGCTCCCCAATATTGGATCTTTACACATAGCAGTCCAGCATAACAAATTAGGGAGTTATCTATTAAAAATCTGTAAGATGGGGGAGGAGCTAACTCACGATCAGAGCGGTCGCCGAAGCACAAAAAAAATAAAAAAGGAAGCCTTTCTGGAGCACAAACTGCCCTGGACATAGCAGACGGTGTCCGCAAGCATATGGGGCGGAAGAATAAGAAACCGAGGTGTGAGCGGGCCAGACATGGCGGACGTGGTGGAAGATTTCTACGACGTCTCGGATGAAGTCCCCCTGCATAGCTTAGCAGACCTGGGCTTCCAGGGACCTCCCAGGCCACCTCCAGAGGCAGAAGGCAGCTCAACCCCGATTATCACGGCCATCCTAACTACCTTCTGGCCGACCTCTGAAAAAGCCTCTCTGCAGACATATCCCAAGTATGGGAGGATGTCAGGGGGTTCACAGCCCTCTTAACCAAAGTGGAACATAAAGTGGAAGAGCATACTCCCCAAATCTCGGACTTACAGAAGCAGGTGAGAAACCTCACCACAGCTCAGACGAACTTTGACAGCCAGCTAGCATCTCTGGAGGGCAAGAGGAGGTGGAAACACCTGAAGATCAGGGGTATATCATACTCCACTACTATGGCAGAGATGCCACACTTCCTATGCAGGTTGTTTATGGCATTATTACCCTCTAAAATAGCAAAGGGTATACAGCTGGATGGCATGTTTCGCCTACCCAAGCCTCAGTCCAAAACTACGCCAGCTACCAGTGACCTCTTGGTTAAATTTAAAAATGGGCAAGACAGAGCAGCCATCTTACAAGCCACCAGGTGGAAGACCCCATACCACTTTGAAGAAATGTTCTATGTTGACCTCTCTCGCTCAACACTATAGTGGAGGAAGTCGCTGAGACCCCTGACATCCACACTCTCATACCAAGGCTTGAAGTATTGCTGGGGAACGCCTCGTATGCTGCTGTTCCAGCACAATGGTGCAGAACACAGAATCACAGAAGCGTCTAAAATGGACGCTATCCTGTCCTCCCTAAGACCTGGTCCTAACACGCTACCACCATCTGGAATTCCGCTACCGTGGTCCCATTCACTCCTGCATCCCGAGGAGCAGCAGGCATGGCTACCACCTGAAAACAGCAATATTAGTGCTGAGACTTGTCCCCTTTCTCTTACTTTTAATTTACTTTTTTCATGCTTTAGTTTTGTTTAAAAGTTGTGATACACTTAAGGCTCACTCTCTTTTTATTACCCATGGCAGAGCGGCCATACTGGGCAAGATAAGACCCAGATACCTACCTTGATTGCGACCATTCCCTTTTCTTAAAGGGACACTGTAGGCACTCTAGCTGCTTCATTTCATTTAAGAGGCTATAGTGTCTGATCCATGTTTTAATGCCATACGAGAGATCCCAGCAGCCTTTTCCTACTGAAAGCATTTGCCAAAAAATCAATGGGCAGCAATGATTGCCCATCCACTATTATTATCTCTATCCATGGAAGTATGGGTGCGTGGTTCAGTCACAATGCTCTCATCCCTACAGGCATTAGAAAGGAGTGATCCAAAGAGAACAAAAGTGAACAAGAGTGTAAGAATGTATCAAATATATTATTGCTTTATTTTTCTCATACATGCAAGCACAATCCACAGTGCTGCAAAGTGTTGCACACTTGATGAGATTCATATACTCTTAATATGTACAGGTTATACAGGTAAAGTAGGAGGCAAGGACCTTCCACATGAACTTACATAAAACTGTGCTGAACTATGTTGGCATCAGACTGGCATGTAGGAAATAATATAAATGTTTCTGTAACATGTATGATTTTTATATCACATGTGTTTGGTCACACATAGTTTAAAACTTGCATGAGTGATGTCTGTCTAATGTTAGGATATGTAGTGTGTGAGGACTATATCTCTAGCCATACAGCAGGTTACCTGTCATGTCGGAATATTCTTGGTAAGTGTCGTTTGGGAAACCACATAGCTAACGCTGACATCAGGACCCACAGGATGGCCAGCTCGTCCAACATCTGCCCTAGGAAACTGAGGGTTGCATGGAAATACACAGATCCGATGCCTACACAAACACAATAAAAACATTTCAGAAAATAAATAGTGCTCCACTTCAGCATATACAAACTCACTATATGCCCTGTGATTTAGCTTTATTGCTGCATAAGTGCAATTTCTATGGTTCCTTTACAGCAGTGTTTCTCAACCTTTTATGGAGAAGTACCTCACATGTCTAAAAAATCCTAAGTACCCCTGCCTTGAAAAAGTAATTTCTATTATTTAAATTCCAAAAGAAATGTGTAAACACTGTTATTTAAAGGGACATTATAGTCACCAGAACAACTAAAGCTTATTGAATTTCTTCTGGTGAGCAGAATCGTTACCTTCAGGCTTTTTGCTGTAAACACTGTCTTTTCAGAAAAAAAATGGAGTGTTTACATTACAGCCTAGTGATAACTTCACTGGCCACTCCTCAGATGGCTGTTAGAGATCCTTCCTGGGTCATTGCTGCCTAAAATGCATCCAAACATTCAGTGTCTCCACCATCTGCATGCAGACACTGAACTTTCCTCATAGAGATTAATTGATTCAATTCAGCTCCATGAGGAGATGCTGATTGGCCAGGGCTGTGTTTCAATCATGCTGGCTCTGCCCCTGATCTGCCTCTTTGTCAGTCTTAGCCAAGGAAGCATTGTGATTGGATCAGGCTACCACTTCTGCTGTCAGCAGGCAGTGGGCAGGTCTAAAGGAAACAAAGCCAGAGCTAGCAGCTCCAGACTTGAATGCAAGTAAGATGCTGCTATTTTTAGTGAAGCATGAGGGGGCCAGGGGAGCTAGATGGTGGTTTTAATCCTAAAGGGTTAAGAACACGTTTGTGTTCCTGACCCTATAGTGCTCCTTTAAGTTATTCCCATATTGGACTAAAAGCCTGATTAAAGGTATTTATGTATATTTTTAAGATAAATATGACATGTTGAGAATATTGTGTATGTAACGAGGAGTGTATGAATGATTAATCTGAAATATAAAAGTCACAAAATGAAAATATAATACACCCATAAGAGTAGCATACAGATGATACTGACACACCATTACATACCGAGCACACTGATTCACACACACACACACACACACACACACACATTTACACACAGAGGGCACTGATACACACAATTACACGCAGAGGAAACGGACACATGTATATTTACATACAGAGGACACTGACACATACACTCACTGATGGACACACTCTCACTGATTTGACACACACTGGCAGACTCACTCACTGACAGACACTCTCACTGATTTGACACAACAACAGTTAACGTCTTTCATAAATTGATAGGAGACTGCGCACATGAGACCCAAACCCACACACTATAACCCTTGCAGTGCAATTTGCCCTTTAAATTTCAGACTCTTAGACCAAATGAGAGGCACATAAAAGTTGGGTTGGCATACCCAATCCATTGAGAACTGCAAGGCTCAATGTTGATTATCTTCTAAGTGGTGATTTGCACAAGTTAGAGTTTTTATCTTTTATTATATTGGATTTATTGTTTTTCCTATTTTAAATGCATTATCTACACACATATTAAAAAAGAGTACATTTTTTGTTGTTTTTTTTTTTTTTAAATCTTCTCTCGTGCTAAGGTATAAAATCACCCACACACACACTATCCACTTTACTTTCAAGCGTTATCTTTTAACCCCGAACATGGCAATTTATCAAATCATAGATTTGAATAAAGTTTCTCATGACTGATTAAAATGTGTTTATTGTATAAATTTTAGTATTTTAATCAAATGTTGAATTCTCTTGTACTGATAACATGAATTTATAAAAAATATTTTAATGAATGGGCAAATTCCAGCACGGAGTGCTATTTATATTGTGGAAACCCCTGAAAGGTGATTTTACCATTTGGTTTTGAGCATCCAAACAGCTCATCTCCCCTATATTAGCAAAGGTCTGATTAATTTATTTGCAACTTATAATATAGGCAGTGAAAAAGCAGTGAATTAAAGCCAATGCTTGTGAACACACGTAATATATATATTACAAATGACTTTTGAATTCCAAGATTCTTAGGAAAGGAATTTTACTAACGTAAACATTATGGAGCATGTGGGTTAATTGCACGTTTATTACATGAATGAGTTCCTCAATTGCTGGAACTTAAAGTCAAACAAAATTAAAACAATTGTTTAGAAGGAATGTTATATCTTGAAGTCCAGGATGTAAACACGAATGTTCCTGTAGGTTCACCATTTTTGGCACACTGCTAACTGTAATCTGGCTCAGCGCTAGACGTCATAATCTGTGTGCTCTGTCAAAATGTACTGTACAGTACAGGAAGTAACCAGGAACTCATTTTGCTTTCCCATACGTATCACATTCAGATGACACCCACTGACATACTTACCAACGACAACAAGCAGCGTCCAGATCAGATATATTCCACTGTTAAAGTAGGTGGCATATTGACGGAATAGGCACATGCATATGGGTGGCAACACAAAAAACAAAATGTTGCTTATCTAGAACAATAAAAGAGACATAAGAATTTGTAAAAACTCAGTTACATAAAGAAAATACAATATATTTTGTACAATACAATATACTTTATGCAAATAAAAATGAACAGAAATATAAACAATAATAAATGCAAATAACCTTTAGAAGTCAAATTTCTGTTCATTGCGATGGGTAAAATCCAATTTAAATGCTAATCCCTATTCTTTTTGAACTGAACTACAAAGCTGTTCAACAGAGGCAAAATTAAATAATAGAAGAATTATGTAAGAATAAATGTTATATAAAGGGAAACTATTAGCACCATAACAACTTGCTCTTGGTCCACTTTCCCTGTCTCTAATATTGTATTATATGATTTCCAAAAATATCATTGCACCTATAAATCCACCTTGTCACTTCACTATCCTTACAAATATATCTGGATATTATTGTGTGTGACCTATTAGGTCTTAACTCTGTCCAATCCATCCTCTTTCATCCTTATCTGTCCTTCTTTCATCAATATTTTCCCTTCTCTAAGAGAACCATTAAACTGGCAGGACTAAGTTATTGTCAGTCATGCAAAATAGGTCCAATGTTTGGATTTATGAATTGGACAAAGATCCTCAATTATAATGATCTCAGATAAGGAGAAGCGGCTGTCGAGAGGAAACTGTTGAAGATGACGAGTATATTTTATTGCATTTTTTTTTTCAAAGCCTCCCTAAACTAAATTTTAAAAAGGGTGAAAAAAAATATAACTCACCTTTTTCCAGTGCCAAGACTCACTGCAGTTTCCCACTCTGCACTAAAGCTCAAGAAGACATACAATGTCACATAACGTCATCTGACTCTATTATTGAAGTGAAAGCACTCTCTATGGGCTGCCAGGAAAATAGTCAGTATATGTGTGCTTAGCCCTGCAATAAAAACATTGATGTATCTACAAAACAGCAATGTTTTTACATTGCAAATAAAACTACAGGGCAACTGTACAACATTGGGATAAAGTGGTCTGGGTGATTATTGTGTTCCTTTAAGGAGTATGCCTTTAAACATAATTATAACATGAGTAAGTTTTGTTGAATACTCATACAACAAATGTGACAGAACCTTTTTTTATTTTTAAGAATGTGACGTCTATTGGGTTGTAAAAGTTTTATAATGCTCTGACATCATATGTGTTACCTGTGTACAAATAAATTCATGTTATTAAAGTTAACCTGACATATCACATAACTGCTTCATTCAACAGAGCTTGTGAAACTAAATATGTGTTTTTCAAAATGTTTTTGAGCATTTTCAGCAATGTATAATAATTTATGATACGGTATATTAAACCATATAATCTATAATGTGACATTAAAAATTCATCTTCTTCATATTAGGGGAAAAGATTATAAAGTCACAGCATATGCTGACAACATTTTCCTAACTAATGAACCCAAAAGAGTCAATAAAAACTGTTCTCACGGTCCAGGGCCAGACTCTTCTGAGAGCTCTTTTGTGCGAGGCATCATTCACATCAGGCAATGCTTCTTGTATCTCTATGGGTGACGTTCAGCGACTGCAGAGCGTGGTGGCCCTGAACGTAGGTGCTGCACACTGTGCAACACTGACACATGAAGCACCTCCAGTGACCGTCTGAGTGACTGTCACTAGGAAGCAATGTAAACATGGCCATTTCTCTGAAAAGTCAGTGTTTACATTGAAACGCCTGCAGGGACAGGTTATAGACACTAGAACCACTACATTAAGCTGTGTGTGTGCTCGCCTGCTAGTGAGTGAGCTTATGTATATCAGTGAGATTGTTTGTTTGTTTGTTTGTTTGTTTTTAAGGCTGTGTATCAACGAGCTTGTCTGTGTCAGTGAGATTGTCTATGTCTGCATGTGAGTATGCTTACTGTATAATTAAACGTTTTACTCTGAAAGGACCGATATTATATATAAGAAAAAGCAATATATATATTTGAGATATATTATATATACAGTTGCAAGAAAAAGTATGTGAACCCTTTGGAATGATATGGATTTCTGCACAAATTGGTCATAAAATGTGATCCGATCATCATCTAAGTCACAACAATAGACAATCACAGTCTGCTTAAACTAATAACACACAAAGAATGAAATGTTGCCATGTTTGTATTGAACACACCATGTAAACATTCACAGTGCAGGTGGAAAAAGTATGTGAACCCTTGGATTTAATAACTGGTTGAACCTCCTTTGGCAGCAATAACTTTAACCAAACGTTTCCTGTAGTTGCAGATCAGACGTGCACAACGGTCAGGAGTAATTCTTGACCATTCCTCTTTACAGAACTGTTTTAGTTCAGCAATATTCTTGGGATGTCTGGTGTGAATCGCTTTCTTGGGGTCATGCCACAGCATCTCAATCGGGTTGAGGTCACGACTCTGACTGGGCCACTTTAGAAGGCGTATTTTCTTCTGTTTAAGCCATTCTGTTGTTGATTTACTTCTATGCTTTGGGTCATTGTCCTGTTGCAACACCCATCTTATGTTGAGCTTCAGCTGGTAGACAGATGGCCTTAAGTTCTCCTGCAAAATGTCTTAATAAACTTGGCAATTCATTTTTCCTTCGATGATAGCAATCCGTCCAGACCAGACATAGTGTTGTGTGTTTCTTCCAAACAACTCAACTTTGGTTTCACCTGTCCACAGAATATTTTGCCAGTACTGCTGTGGAACATCCAGGTGCTCTTGTACAAACTGTAAATGTGCAGCAATGTTTTGTTTGGACAGCAGTGGCTTCCTCTGTGGTATCCTCCCATGAAATCCATTCTTGTTTAGTGTTTTACGTATTGTAGATTCGCTAACAGGGATGTTAGCATTTGCCAGTGACTTTTGTAAGTCTTTAGCTGACACTCTAGGATTCTTCTTCACCTCATTGAGCAGTCTGCGCTGTGCTCTTGCAGTCATCTTTACAGGACAGCCACTCCTAGGGAGAGTAGCAGCAGTGCTGAACTTTCTCCATTTATAGACAATTTGTCTTACCGTGGACTGATGAACAGCAAGGCTTTTGGAGATACTTTTATAACCCTTTCCAGCTTTATGCAAGTCAACAATTCTTAATCGTAGGTCTTCTGAGAGCTATTTTGTGCGAGGCATCATTCACATCAGGCAATGCTTCTTGTGAAAAGCAAACCCAGAACTGGTGTGTGTTTTTTATAGGGCAGGGCAGCTGTAACCGACACCTCCAATCTCATCTCATTGATTGGACTCCAGTTGGCTGACATCTCACTCCAATTAGCTCTTGGAGATGTCATTAGTCTAGGGGTTCACATACTTTTTCCACCTGTACTGTGAATGTTTACATGGTGTGTTCAATAAAAACATGGCAACATTTCATTCTTTGTGTGTTATTAGTTTAAGCAGACTGTGACTGTCTATTGTTGTGAGTTAGATGATGATCGGATCACATTTTATGACCAATTTGTGCAGAAACCCATATCATTCCAAAGGTTTCACATACTTTTTCTTGCAACTGTATATATTACTCAATTATCTGGGGTGGCAAGACATTGCCTTACATATTACATGCGACAATATATGGCGCAATGACTTTTGGGGCTGGCATAGATTTTTATTTTTTTCTAGGGCTGCTTTGTATCCCCAGTCCGGCCCTGTTCTCACCCTGATAGACGAATATTCAGCACTTTCAGGCTACAAATTAACTACTCCTAATTGCATTTGAGAAACACCTTCTACAAAGGGTCAGAGCTACTTTTCCCTACCGATTTGCAACAACTAATATTACATACTTATGGATTAAGATCTCTTCAGAACTCGCTACCCACTACGATTTAAACTATACCCCTACTTTTGCAAACTGCTCATGCTAATTTAAAATGCTAGGGTAACCTAAGCATTTCCTGGCTGGGACAGGTGGCCACGATTAAAATGAACCTCCTACCAAGATTTATTTTTCTTTTTTAAACTCTCCCACAAAGGAGCAGAGTTTAAAGGTCAACAATCTGCTATTGACGGCTTCACCAGGAAGGATAGCAGATCTCAAATTCCCTTATCCACTATGTATGCCCATAAAACACATGGGGGATTGGGAATCCCAAACTTTTTGAACTATTACAAAGCTGTTCAACCTTCTCAGAGCCAGCAATGACATGTACGACCTGAACACAAACATTGTGAGGACCTGGAGTTTGGCTGGGATCATCCCTATACAGATTCACAGAGCTTTATCCACATATTCTAAGATATTTACCCCCAATCACAATGCCAACTATTACTCATTCAGTCTATTTATGGGACAGAGTCAAAAATTAAGTTTCATTCCACTTCCCCCTCACATCGATTCTGAGGAACATTCCTGATCTTGTCCTTTTGCTCATTACAAGGATAGGGACATAACCAGGCTTATGCACCTCTACCACCAATCTCAAATCATAGAGTATGCAGACCTTCCTTACCACGCATAACTCACCATGTCAGATTTATTTTGCTTCATACCCCCCTTACCTCCTCATCCACACCATTTCAATGACACTGTCCTTTGGCACCAGGACAGAAAGTGGCAAATTTCCACCCTATATATCATGCGAACAACATACCCCACACAAACTGTATGGCCATCCATAACTGTGTGGGAACATGACATAGGGCCCATGAAGAATCGAACATTGGTCCAAGATTTGGAAAATTTTGGTGATGCTAACCACTTGTGTTACATAGAAAGAACAAGCATACAAGATGCTTTTCAGATAGTACTTAAACCCCATTAGATTTTACAAAATGACACAACTTCAATCGGACCTTTGCTGGAAACAATGTGGGGAAACATAAACTTTCTTGCACTGTTGGTGGGCTTGTTCAAAGCTCAACCCTTTTTGATCAAAGATCCAAGCACTACTCATTAGACTCTTGGGTCTCTTACTTTCAAAGCCGCTTGACCAGTTCACAAAAAATTAAAATAAACCAGCAGTTAGGATAGCACTCGCAGCATGCAGAGCATTAGGAGAATTATGGGCAGATAGCCGCATTCACTGAGGCAATTAGTTTCCCCTCTACCTATCCCTTTCCTGTCCCCTCCTTTCCTGGAGACTCATGCAAATCACTGTTACCTCTATAACATCTTTTACATCACTCTATACCCCTTTCTTCTCACACTACTTAGTTTGGTAATTTATCTTCCCTTTTACCCACCCTCCACATACCCACATGACTGGGACCATGGCTAATTTCACAAACACACTACACTGGACAAATACCAGTCAACACAAAATATACGCCTTCAGAGAACCTCCAGTGGCCAAACACTCAACATCTACCCATTCATTACCCTTTTTCAGTATTGACCTCACCCTCCCCCAGAATTTACCTTGTGCAAAAAATCATGCAGTAGTCTCAGAAAGGGTTGAGGGTTTCACAACATTATCCCCAAATGCGTAGCAAGCTTAGAGCAATATTTTGCTCCTGGGGGGCGGGGTCTGACAGCCAACCAAGCTGGACGCATGTGGCTGGAGCTCCTTAGGAAAAAGTAATTTGTTAAGCCCAAATTTGATTTTTACAGTGCAAGTTTAGCACAAATGTGGTCTGAACACGTCTATCTAACCTTGGTAGGAACACAATGCCTAATTCTGCGGGCATAGCTCATGACGATGCTGATCTACTGGTAGCAGGAGAAGTGGCCGATCCTCTGCCCTGGTGAATCAACAGCCTTGTGCCTGGGCCCTGTTCCTCAGCCCTTGGACTGGTGGGGGACATCCCAGTCCCCACTGGTGAGCTCTCGTGGCCTCCTTGATGACACACAGAAGTCATAAGCGACTCAGTGAGTTGAGGTCTGCCTTTTAAGATGGCTACCACACTTGGGTCTGTGGTTTCTATGGCCTACTCCCAACACACCTCCCTTGTGGACCCGCTTCTCCAGGAGTTTTACCATCTGTGCGCGCGGTTCTGGCAGACTTTGTGCGTCCACATGATTCCTCGACTTCCCACTGAACGGGCCAAGACTTCACAGACTCAACATAGCGAGGCCTCTTTTAGGCACCCTCCACATGACAGATCACAGACGGAGGAGCAGGTGGAGGGGCTTAAACCTCAATGACCTCGAACCCATGTCTCCTTACACTTACCTGGAAGGCGGGTTTAACGGGGAATCTCCCTCAGCATGACATCCACAGGCGGATGGGATTGGAGCCTATACCAGGAAGCTCACAGGTCGTAGCACTTGTGGCCAAACGTGTTCAGACCACATGGAGCATCTATCAGACGTGTGTGGCAGCTGAGGCCATGTTGTGTGAACTCATGTTCTACAGGGGAAGTATCTGAAGGCATGAGTTTATTTGGCTTCTGTTCATATAGCAATTCTTATCTCCTTATTTGATTGCTAGGAAGTGTTAGATTTCATATTTTCAGTTAAACTCTCATGCTTTACAACATATGCTGTATTCTAATGTTTATGTTCTTAGGCCCTAATGGATGATCTCTAGCTAGTTCTTATCATCCAGTGGTTTTTATTTTGTGATATGACCTAAAGTTCTATTCTATTGAATCTTGCTTTCTCTCTCTGTTCTATTTGATAGAATTATGTTCCTGATGTATTTTCTATATTATAAAAGAAGTGCAGTATCCTTGACATCCTTGTTTTATCATCCCCTTTTTATTGCCGTCTACAATCTTGTAAAATGTTTATGCAAGCCTTTCTATTATCACATGCACTGCAAAAAATAATGTCAAAAAAATATATATATATATATTTTGCTCCAATTGTATTCTGTTCGAAAAGTTAATTGTCATAGCCAAAAATAGGGTATCTTTTATAAACTCAAATGTCTTTTCAATATTATTTATCAGAAATAACAATAATCCCAAATCACACCAATTTGCACATAAAAAAAGAGTTTATTCATACATAGAAAGTGCATCAGAATATCTTAACAGAAAGTGCATAGTATAGTGCATAGCCCACTAATAGTACCAAAAACCACAGTAATAAAGTGCTAAATGCAATCACCCATTAAAAGGGTTTACTGACCAAGATCAGGAGAAACAAAAACCCAGAAGTTTTTGGCTATGAAGCCTTCCTCTGGGGGACCTCTCAATATTATTTATCACCCATGTGACCAAACAGTGATAGAACTCATGCAATTTATTTTGAGTATCATTTCTTTTTCTATTGCTGTGTTCCTAATACGTATAAAAAGAATTAAAAAAAAAAATTAATCTTGAGTTTTATTAACATTGAGAGGTGTCTTCCCACTACTGTATGTCTCTCTAACCCCACTTTTCCTGTATCTCTCAACATACCGTGCATCATGTACTTTCTCCCTATAGTATCTAATCTTACATTACATCCTCATTTTATCTCCAAACCACTCCCGTGTCATTTGTTATCCTATCTATCTACTCACCCCATCTCACTTCTTGATACCATTCCATATCCTTTCAGTGCCATCCCTCCACATGCCATCTTATCTATCCTGTTTTTACAAGTAACCAATATATTGGACCCTGTAGTGATAGGATAAGGACATCTCACTGCAATAACAATGGAAGTCTATCTCACACCGACAGCTAACATTCCAATTTCTAATGGCGACATGTGGGATGATGTAGTTATCAAGAGCTTCTAGCCCGATCAACTGTCAGGGTAAATTGACTTGTATCTGCAAAAATATGTCTTCAAGCAGCTTCTTTCAAGCTTATAACTATATATGAAATCCCATTGTGTAATTATCTAGCAAACAGCTTGCCACAACATGGCCTACATTATTATAGGTCGTGCAATAGGTTTGGAAGTGCTTGCTTTGTCCCAGATTGTGAGCTAATATTCGTCTGGAGTCTTAAAGCTACCAATGTACAAAGCTATTTATCTACTAGAAGAATCTTATTATTTCCTGTCACTGTTGACACTTCAACTTAAAATGCGAGTCTATGAAAGTTCTGAAATTCCCTTGAGCTGGCCTGCAATTAAACTGGCAGAGCTGTATACCAGTGTCAGGAATGTAGCATAAACACAATAGGATGGAAAAAAAAAACCATCAGACTAATCCAGACCTCTGTAAAAATCAATTTGAGTATTGAGCGTCTTTTGAAATCATATTAAGCCCGAGTCCGACACAGCTGCACATACACATGGAGTCCTGGCTAACGTAACACACAGCTAATTCATTTAGTATGGGGTTTAGGGTTGGGAATTGATTGTTTATTGATTGATTCCAAATGTATAGTTTAACCAACTTTTGTGAAAAAAAAATTTTTTATTCGTAACTCAATATAACTAGCGATTTGGTGAACAGAATATTGTTTGGTTAACCACAAGATAAAATCTAAAACCTAAGCATGTATGCTGGCCAAAATTTAAAGATTTTCCAGAATTGCATTTTGTTTCCAGCTAATCTATTCTGGAATTTTTAAAGGTTGGATTTGAAGGTTCCTGGTTTGATCCTTTTAATTTTAAAGCCACCTTAAAAGTGTGCCATGAAAACATTTACTGTGATAGGATGAATGCACTTCATAAAATGTCAGCATTAAAACTAGGATTCCCATCTGTTATTTAACGAAAACTGTGAGATTGGCAAGAAGTATGCATATCCCTCTAGACATGCTCCAAGTAAATATGACATGTATAAGCCGCTCAAGAAATTAAAATAATGAAAGTGTGCCCTGGTCCAAAAAAAGACTACACTGATGTAGATGGAATATTTTAATGTACTCTGAAAATTAATTTACATTTAAAAAAAAATTTTTTTTTAAACATTAGCAAAATAATAATAATCATCATACCAAAGGGTCCTGGAAACATATCAGAGTATCATTCAGTAAGTGTACACATAATGTCACACCAGCAGCGGAACTATCGCACCAGGGCCCACACGACGATGGTACCCATCAAGTGGCCAATGCACTTAGGGACAACCGATAGGCATATGTCATGAGCCCAGTTATTGAGCTGCGGTCCTTTAACAGCGAGACCCAGACACTCTCATGCTGGCAGCTAGTGATGGGTATTTAATTCAGTTAAAAATACGCATTTAGGCCTATGTGTGAGTCCCACAGTGAGATGCACACAGTTATACATATACACTGTCAAATACAGCCACATGCACACAGTCACAGGCAGATAGTCACATACACAGGATCAGGCAGAAACACACAGGTACGGGCAGATAAACACATTCACACACAATTACAGGCAGAAAGTCACACACACACAGGTACAGATGGACAGTCACGTCCATACAGCCACACATACATTCTTAAACACACACACTTACACACACTTACATGCAGTTACACACACAGAGGCAGACACACAGACAGCCATACACACACACAGGCAGACAGCCACACACAAACACAGCAACATGCACACAGACAGCCACACACAGGCATATATCCACAGGCAGACAGACACACAGGCAGACAGCTACACACACACACACACAGGCAGACATCCAAACAAACAAACACACACAGGCAGAAAGCCACACACACACACGCACACAGAGGCAGACAGCCACACACACACGCACACAGAGGCAGACAGACACACACACACAGGCAGACATCCACACACACAGGCAGACCGTCACACACAGAGGTAGGCAGACAGCCACACAGACACACATACAGGCAGGCAGCCACACACATACAGGCAGGCAGCCACACACACACAGGAAGACATCCACACACACAGAGGCAGACATCCACACACACAGAGGCAGACATCCACACAAACAGAGGCAGACAGCCACACACACACAGACAGCCACACAGACACAGGTAGACAGCCACACACACCCACACACACAGGAAGACATCCACACACACAGGCACACATACAGGCAGGCAGCCACATGCACACAGATGAAGACAGCCACACAGGCAGACAGCCACACACATACAGGCAGACAGCCACACACACACACACACACACAGACATCCACACACACACAGGAAGACATCCACACACACAGGCAGACAGTCACACACACAGAGGAAGACATGCATCCACACACAAACAGAGGCAGACAGCCACACACACACAGACAGCCACACAGACACAGGTAGACAGCCACACAGGCAGACAGCCACACACACACACAGGCAGGCAGCCACACACACACACATCCATCCACACACACACAGACATCCACACACACAGGAAGACATCCACACACACAGAGGCAAACAGTCACACACACAGGAAGACATGCAACAACACACACACACAGACACAGACAGACACACACAGGCATACAGCCACAAACACACACACAGGCAGACAGTCACACACACAGGCAGACAGACACACACACACACACACACACACACAGACAGACAGACAGACAGACACAGGCATACAGCCACAAACACACACACAGGCAGACAGTCACACACACAGGCAGACAGTTACACACACAGACAGACAATCACACATAGTTACCTCTGTTCATTATAGAGGAGTGGAGGCAGTGCAGCTCCTGGAGATATCTTAATGACAGCTTACTGACCTGCATCTTACCTCCATATCCCTTGGAGCTCCTGGAGACTGGTTGTTGTGGAAGCAGGGACTCCTTCCTGCTTCCCATGCTGCAATTACCTGGCACATTTACCTCCGCCCTGCCGTCATTTTAGCCCCACCCCTGTCACATGTAAGTTCCGCCCCCGCAGCATAGTAAGCTCTGCCCCCGCCACAATGTTGGATGACTTAAAAAATATATATTATAATCACTGCCATGTGTGAGCTGTGTCGGTCGCCTGGCACCCCCTGTTGCCATGGCACCCTGTGCGTCCGCACAGCTCGCACACCCCTATGGTCGGCCCTGTCTCTGTCTGTCAGTGTTTGTATCAGTGTGTCTGTGTGTGTATCAGTGTATCTGCATGCTTGTCTGTGTATCAGTGTGTGTGTCTATGTGTGTATATGCAAATGTGTATCAGTGTGTGTGGCATTGTATGTGTATATGTGCATACAACTCAGCATTCAAATATTAACACAATATACAAACACACCTCTGTATTAAAACAACAACGTTATATATAAACATACCCCTGCATTTTAAAACCATCATTTGCACACAACACCCATGATTAAGGAAAAGGAGGGAACATGACTCATAACAAATAATATACATCCCTATTTAGAAGGGACACTTAATATTTTATACCCAAATCCCTCTGTCCCTCTTTTCTATCCTAATGTCCCTCTTTTAAGAGCTACATATTGTTGGTGTGTCTGAGTGTATAACAGAGCTCCATAGCAATAATACTCCCAGTAATGTAACGTATAACTATAATAAATGTGTTTAGGAATCAGTATGTGTAAATAAGATACATTGTTCTTGCTCTTTATTACATTTTAGCTGCTTAAAGGACCACTATAGGTACTCATACCACTTCAGCTCAATGAAGTGGTCTGGGTGCCAGGTCCCCCTAGTTTTAACCCTGCAGCTGAAACCATAGCAGTTTCAGAGAAACTGCTATGTTTCACTGAAGCCTATAGTGGCTGTCTCACTGACAGTCGCTAGAGGCGCTTCCACGATTCATTTAAATATATAAAGGGAATCAACACCGTAAAGGAGGAGACTATATTTAAAAGAAGAAAAACTACCACAACAAGAGGACATAGTCTTAAATTAGAGGGACAAAGGTTTAAAAGTAATATCAGGAAGTATCACTTTACTGAGAGGGTAGTGGATGCATGGAATAGCCTTCCAGCTGAAGTGGTAGAGGTTAACACAGTAAAGGAGTTTAAGCATGCGTGGGATAGGCATAAGGCTATCCTAACTATAAGATAAGGCTAGGGACTAATGAAAGTATTTAGAAAATTGGGCAGACTAGATGGGCCGAATGGTTCTTATCTGCCGTCACATTCTATGTTTCTATGTTTCTATGATTCTCATTGTGAAAATCACAGTGAGAAGACGCTGGACGTCCATAGAAAGCCTGGCACTGGAGATAAGTAAGTGGCTGAAGGGGTTTTAACCCCTTCAGCCCAGCGGGAGGGGGGCCCTAGGGTGGGGGAGATCTAATGACCCTATAGTGCCAGGAAAACAAGTTTGTTTCCTGGCACTATAGTGCTCCTTTAAATTATTATTAGTAGGTCACCTAAAATTTCTCAGAACAGACCCGCCTCTGGCATTCACATTCCTAAAATTAAAGTGTCACGCTTTGTCCATTTAAAATGTCGGAAGTAATGCATACAAGTATATCTCTGGCTCTGATTTGATATAATGGATGCTAAAGTCAGAGTTCTGTCACCAAGCAAGATCAGCATGCCACATTACCAGTAAGTAAGTGTTCCTGCTAAGCAACCCTCATAACTTCATTAGCCTTTGCATCCCAACATGTTGCCAATTGAGAAATATTGGTATTTGCTCATTTATAGCTATTTAACCCCTTAAGGACCAAACTTCTGGAATAAAAGGGAATCATGACATGTCACATGTCATATGTCCTTAAGGGGTTAAAGGAATCCAAAAAAGTAGAGAATTGAGGGAAGAAGACTCTAGAAAGTGGAGAATTCTGTAACAGAGATGGCAAAGGAACAGAACATTCTAAGTTAGCTAAAGTCACACAAAGCCCTGTTGCAAGAAATACTGCTAAGAGTAAAGCAGAATGTACTTTACCATGGAATAGTTCAATGAAAAAATATATAGAGAGAACTTTGCACAAAAGGGTTATGTAAATTTGGACTATAACTCATGTTTCATTGTGTTACTCCCTAAGGTTTTGTGTGCACATTGTTAATTAACAAATACATGAAACTTTACAATTTAATTATCAAAATATTTTCCAAACACATGTCTGAAGAGGGTGATGCTTTTGCATACAGTTCATTTCTTCCATCTAGGGCAAATTTAGGGCTAATCTGCAGCTTGGTGCAAAGCAACAGCACAGACAGTGTTACTGGAAAAGTGAGAAAGGGATTTAAATTGAGTTCAGTGGAATATATTTATTAAATTCACATTTCAGGGCTATAAGCTGAACTGTAAAAACAATCTCCAAGTCAGCTATGCCTTTAGTTTTTCTACGCTGGCATAAATTTAAAGTTTACTTAAAGGTTTACTTTGAATTCCTGACAATTCAGACTTAAGCGAATAACTCTGTGTGATAGTTTAATAACTCGACATTTGGCGGTGAGTACAGGTTTATAACAATCAAGTTTAATGATGCCTGGAAGCAATAAAATGAATGCGCATTTCAATATGTCATATGATGTTTGATCCTGGTGTGACGTTTTTATGAAGAATGGTAGAAAACTAGCATTGGCTAGTCATCTACAAATGACTGTATTTGTATTACGCAGCCATGTTACAGTTACACACATGTTCCCTATTAGGGGTTTAGGTAAATATACCTCTCATTTTACCTCTTGGCTGAAGACAGCATGGTGAATAGTCAGTGTAGGACTCACCTAAGAGATTTTGCCTTGACGTGGCAGGTGAGCTTACACTTAATGGCCATTGGATTGGTACTAAAAACCTCAATTTATTTAAATGAGTATAGGAATTTGGGATAGTGCGCAAGTAACTTTTTTCTTTGGTTTTTATTGTACGTATTGGGGCTGATGTGTGTTATAGTCAATGCTGCACCCAAGAGTAGTGGGAGTTTGAGCGCAGGGCTTAATGTTTTGTATTTGTATTCGCTTTTGTATTACACAGCCAAGTTACAGAGCTGCTGCCCACCACACGTGTTTCCTATTGTGCAAGTTACTTTTTTCTTTGTTTTTTATATATAACATGCAATCATCTCAAGTTTGCCTTTTGTATATACTTATATTGCACTAGAATACCAGTGTCATGCCAAAGCAGTACATTAGTAGTTTTATACACTGAACAAAATTATAAACGCAACACTTTTGTGTTTGCCCCCATTTTTAATGAGCTGAACTCAAAGATCTAAGACTTTTTCTATGTATACAAAATGCCTATTTCTCTCAAATATTGTTCACAAATCTGTCTAAATCTGCATTAATGAGCACTTCTCCTTTGCCGAGATAATCCACAGGTGTGGCATATCAAGATGCTAATTAGACAGCATGATTATTGCAAAGGTGTGCCTTAGGCTGGCCACAATAGAAGGCTTCTCTAAAATGTGCAATTTTATCACACAGCACAATGCCACAGAAGTCGCAAGTTTTGAGGGAGCGTGCAATTGGCATGCTGACTGCAGGAATGTCCACCAGAGCTGTTGCCCATGAATTGAATGTTCATTTCTCTACCATAAACCATCTCCAAAAGGTATTTCAGAGTATTTGGCAGTCCATCCAACTGGCCTCATAACCGCAGACCATGTGTAACCACACCAGCCCAGGTCCTCCACATCCAGCATCTTCACCTCCAAGATCATCTGAGACCAGCCTCCTGGACAGCTGCTGCAACAATTGATTTGCATAACCAAAGAATTTCTGCACAAACTGTCAGAAACCGTCTCAGGGAAGCTCATCTGCATGCTCGTCATTCTTATCGGGGTCTCAACCTGACTGCAGTTCATCGTCGTAACCGACTTCGTCGTAACCGACTTGAGTGGGCAAATACTCACGTTCTATGGCGCCTGGCACTTTGGAGAGGTGTTCTCTTTACGGATGAATCCCAGTTTTCACTGTACAGGGCAGATGGCAGACAGAGTGCATGGCGTCGTGTGGGTGAGCAGTTTGCTGATGTGAACTTTGTGGATCGAGTGGCCCATGGAGGCGGTGGGGTTATTGTATGGGCAGGCGTATGTTATGGACAACGAACACAGATGCATTTTTATTGATGGCATTTTGAATGCACAGAGATACCATGACGAGATCCTGAGGCCCATTGTTGTGCCATTCCCAACCCACCCAATACAGTAAAACTGCACATTTTAGAGTGGCCTTTTATTGTGCTGTGTAATCAGCATCTAATCATGCTGTGTAATCAGCATCTTGATATGCCACACCTGTGAGGTGGATGGATTATCTCTGCAAAGGAGAAGTGCTCACTAACACAGATTTAGACAGATTTGTGAACAATATTTGAGAGAATTAAGCCTTTTGTGTACATAGAAAAAATATTAGATCTTTGAGTTCAGCTCATGAAAAATGGGGGAAAAAAACAAGTGCTGCGTTTATAATTTTGTTCAGTGTATATAGATCAAACTTTGTGAAGAATCTGAAGTGATAGATCTGCTTGAAGTTTTCTGGTCTGTGCATCGCCGTGTGACTACATAAGCTCATAACACTTCTACAATGCATGTATGATGAGCCTTGAGGAGGCACATTAATGTGCTCACATTCAACATAAGCCCTAGTTTTGTGATCTTGCTATGTTTACAGCGCAGAGATTCAAACTGCAATCTCTGTATTAAACTAAGCCTCACATGTTATGTATGTGGTTACGTATTGCCATGAGAAGTGGTGCAATGGTGAAACCACTGTCTGCACTTCTATATAAAAAGACTACCGCCAGAAATACATCTCTGTGTCAGCTGCGTCAAAACAGAAATCTGACCTAATTCTTATTTTATCACAAATTATACATAGAAATAACAACTAATGTGTACAGTTTTTGATCATTTTATTGAATGACCGTGTTACAAACTGCCCCTTTTCATGAGTTTGCCAAGAGCTCCTGGAGGAGCCTGCTTGCCAGCCTCCTGCCCACAGACTATGGCCCCTGTAATAGACTTTGATTAAAGACACTGTTTGTGCCTTTTGGACTTGTATGGCTACACTTCAAACTCCCGAAGGGGTTCGTAGCGGCACTTCGAACAACCACTCGAACCAGAGACCACCCTGGAGCTTGTTAACACCTATTAGCAACTTGAAACGTTTCTCACTGCATTGTTCTAATTGTTCATCTGGGTGGCCGCAATTACTATGGACAACCATCTTTTTCGCATGAACGCAGGCAGCTGTGTTTGGGCATGAATCTCATGGAACTAAAATTGGACACAGAAACTCCCGAACACCACTGGACTTCCATCATTGCCTGTGTTTGGTTATATACAACTTAGAAGGGCACTATGCGGTGAAATAATTTGTCTGGATGAGGGGAACAAGCGCCAGTGTAAGACTATTGACTCTGTTTGGTAGTTTATTCGTTTTCAAACTACCGAACTAGACCGACCGCAAGCCCTGATCCTCTGGAACTGTTTTGGGCATGGGACCATGCCTGCAGTCGGTCAAATAAATGACTTCCAGGAAATTCCTGTACCCCTGAACTGATCTGGGTGATTTTTGGATATGTTGGTCACCCAGATCAGGGCTATCAGGTGATTTTTTTTTAAATGTATTTTAGGGTAATATTGGGGTGTTTTGAAAAAGTGTGTTTTTTTTCTGTGCTTGGAGATAATTAGATTACAATTAGTAAAGTAACTGATCCAATTATCTCCCAGGCAGAGGGGAGGGATTGTATGCTTGTATATGGGAGTGTCATGTATTTAAACACCCTTGTCATTAGTCTATGACTTTGTGCTGCAGTCCCCCACAAGGGGGGTGGGGGGGGCCCTTGCATGGGGAGATGCATATAAGGCCAGTTGTGGCTGCCATTAAGGCATTCCAGCTTGCACTCCAAAACTGTGAGTCGTCCTGTTATTGGAGGGAAGGAAGATTTAACCCCTGTGTCTGCTGTTCCAGATTGCAGGGGATTCAATTGGGAAAGTCCTTGTAAGGACTAGAGTTCCTAGCACTGAGTGTCGACCAGTGCCTGGGGGTGTCTAGAATGAATTCCCAATTTGGCTCCAGGAAAGAGTGGTTCCAGGGCCCCAGTCAAGCCACGGCGACTTTGGGCAGAAGTGCTGCAGTTTGTCCCCTGTTCCAGCTAGGAAGTGGTCCTTGGCGGAGGTACTCAGCCAGGGGTACAGGGAGCTCCGTTACAGACAGTTTTTATTGATTGTCTGATTAAAGCTCACTCAGACATCTTTATGCATAGCTGTTACGGTTCCTGCCATATCCGTGCAGATTTTGATGCCCATAGTGACACTTACATGTCAATCCTGTCACTGACAGCCACCTCCTGGTCGCTTTAAACCGTGAATTTATGATGCCAGAACATCTTGCATCATTTCCCGATGCACAGCCTCCTGCATCATTCCTTCATCATTGTTCATGCACCATTTGGCATTGCACAAATGACGCAAACCTAGCATGATTCCTAGGCCCATGTAAGCTCTCCCTGCCTTCTAAGCTTTGACCAGTTGTGGTTTCCCCTGCAGTGATTTGAGAATGAGTTTAATTAGTATATTGATAATTTATATTTTGATGTCAGCTTATCTATGATTATTCTCCTTTCTGAAATGCTTGACCCTGTCTCACTGACCATTCTTTAACCAGTTTTTATTCTGTAGCGTTAAGATCAATTTTAAGGACTGGTAATACGCTTGTGTTTTTTCTACATCTGCCTTAACTAGGTGTGACTTGCGATCTGTGTGTTGGGCCGGGTGATAACGTGACACCACTGTAGAGTAAAAAAGAGTAACAATATCACCAAAAGTTTCATACAGAGTTATTCACTAAAGTGAGAAATGCTCGGAATTCAAATAGAACTTCAAATTTAAAGACAAAATAGGCCAAATTAAAACAGAATTGATTTGGGGATTATATTTCTAATTTGGCTATTTCAGTTTAAATTTGACAAAATACTTTAAATTCCCCAAAATTATTACTTTAGTGAAAAAATCTGTTAGTATTATATCATTATTTCTTTATATCCTCCAATGTGTGGATCTTTAAATCACTACCATTTTTATTTAGAACAGGAACCTTACATACATTCTTGTTCATTAAAACCATTTTAATCATAGAAAATAAATATAATATACATGGCACTACCAGACACTTAAAAATACATGTTAGCTTCCTTCAAGCGCTGTCTTGCAAATTACATATACTCTATACAGTACAAAAGTAATCTTTTTTTTATAAATTATCTAGAGCATTTGTTTGTGATTTTAGGTAATATTCTAATGATAAACCTTGCAATACAATTTTTCTCATATCAGGTTTTAAAAATGAATGCAAGATTTATGTTATCTTAAGCATGACGACGACTTTCTATGAGCTGACTTTGATAATGTCAAACTTTAATAGCACTTCCTGAACTTTCCATATAATTAAATTGTTCTAATCTTTAAAGCGCCCCTAACTTGTCCAGAATTACAGAGATTGTTTATTGACTCACCTGTGTTCAACCAGGTATCTGAATTATGGCAAATTAGAAGAAAACCATAAACTAGTAAATTAAACATTTCTGAGTTCTGGAAGAAATGTCCTGGACCCAGCAACAATATGCCCATACAAATATAATTTTAATGTTGGAGTAAAGCCATAAAATTGTATGAATTTTCAGGTAGGATCATAAATCAGGCAGATATACAATTTAGAAGGCGTCTATTATTACTTGATGAGTATATGGTTACGTCTTACATTTTCATGTGATGAGTATGTGACACCCAAAGACTACATCCCCTGTCCATAAACAGAGGGAATGAGAATGCAGCAAAAAGGCAGGATAGAGGTGAAACAAAGTAGCATCCACAAGTTTCATATGCAGTAGAAGACAACTAATAATACAGGCACTTATCTTATTGACTCAGTTTAGCAGCCAGGAATGTTGAGGAATCCTAGATCTACAGGTTAGCAGATGGAGACAACCTGTACAGACAGAGGTAATGTGATATATGAATGGTACACACCGTGTTGTAGAACTCTGCAATAGTGGGCACAATCTTGTAATTATCTTCACACCAGTCCACATCTGAGCTGCCGGCTTGTAGATTATCCCATATTTTCAGAGAACCCATTGATGCTGAAGATGTTTTTTTCGGCTTCCCTGAGAAATAGCCACAGACTGCTTAATGTCCTGGTTGCTACAACAACGGTTTATCACCGTGGACTAGTAGATGGCGTTAGAGTGGAGGTATAATGTGATGGTATGGAGGTATAACACTTTGGACTGGAGGTATATTGAGATAACAAGAAGGAATAATGACCCAGGTGAAGTAGTGGTGACAAACGTAATACTGTTTGAGTTTGGCGTTGCCTTTCAAGTTCTTCTGGTTCTGCTGGCGACAAATCCTTAATTATCTTAATTATTGGGGGAGTCACCGTCCGAACAAGTCTATCAAACGGCCAGTGAACGAATTGGAACTTGGAAGCTTTGTTGCTGTGAGTGGATCTGTTTACCTCAGAGTGATACTAAACGTTCCAATGTGACAGTCTCACTGGATACAGTGGGTGCTAGCAGCATGGGTGCCTGTGCTCCTGTCGGCGAATATAAGGAATATGCTGGCGATGTGATCTTTCGATACTGTAATCGGTAATATAGTTTGATAGTTTGTTTACAGTCCACTCAAAATGCCCCAAGTCAAATCCTCCTTGATTCCAAAATGTTCAGAATAAACAGGTCCTGCTGTAGATCATTGGGTTTTAATAAGTCTGTGTCAGCTGGCCGAGTCAGAGTGTTCAGGGATGGCTCCTATGTATGAGTTGTTTAGCAGTGTCTCAGAGCTCACAGCTGGAGCTTGCAGCTTCTTACTTTGAGACTGACTCTTCCCAGCCATCTGTCTGATGACCTACTGCCACTGTATCAGCCCCTACACGAGGATCCCTCCCTGTCTGAGGAGGTACCGGGCACTATCTCCGCCTGCCTAATGTTCTCATATCAGGGCTGGCTCCACCTACATGTTGTTTACGTCCATTAAAAAAATCAAAAAAGCACTATTCTTGGATCACCAGCACATCTCTTTTTACTATTTCAAGGGGCACCCACATACAGTAGCTCTGTTTCAATGGGCACCCACATATTCCAGGTTGTATATGTAGCACTGTACTGGTCAGTCACATACAAATTCTGTGTATTCGTTTTTACATTTTCTCTAATGATTTCGGTTAGAGTGGGGGAGGGGATAGTTTGATACCCCCATACACCTCCCTTGCTAGTCCCCCCATATTGTTTGATTTATCTTGTTCTATGTGTGTAGTAAAGTAATTACTGCAATTTACTTTCATTTGGACCTCAATTTAAAATACATTAATTAATTAAAAAAATAAATATACTGTATTGGCTTTATATAGTCATATTAGTTAAAATGCAGGAGTATCAAATACTTCTAGGTTTTAAAAAAAAGAATAGTTTTAAATATTATAGTATAGAGTACACATATGTATCAACTTTCTGTTTAATAAATAAAACTTCGACACTGCGCAGACAGTTCACTACATGGTTTCAGACTTAGAAAATGCTTGCGGTTTAACTATTTTGGTGTAAAACTGGAAATTCACTTTTGATTCATAGCAATTTAGTTTTCCGTGAATAACCCCAGTAGTAAGCTATGAGAAAAAAATAAACTCATGGTTTAAGCAACAGATACCTGGGCTACATTGTAGTGCTACCATAAAAGTTCCTTACCACTGCAAAAAACAACCTACAACAACAAAACTACCCTTGACATAGCTGTGAGCCCTCCTTCCTCTCACTTGCCCCACTAGCATAGAAAACAAAAGAGTTAATTTGCTAAACCAGATTGCAGAGATTAGTTAAACATATTCAAACTGGAAACTTTCTCCAATCTAGCTACTTTTCCAGCCTCTCTATTTTGGTCTGGAAATCACAATTTTAATTGACCATAGACACACAAACTTTTGTTTGACTGTTGACAAAGCAGATGCCATCACAGCTTCCATTGCGGATTGTGGTCATGTTTGGGTCAGGTCAGTTATCAAGCTATTTATATACATTGAGTCTGTACTTGTACATACAAACATAAAGAATAATTAGAAGAAACATTGGCTTCTGTCAAAGCTTTGGTTTATGTGTAAATTGGGCCAAAGTTTAAGATACACAATTGCAAAATGATTTCGGCAACGTGCAGACAGTTCACTACAGATCACAGAAAACAGATCATCGTTCCAAGTCTAGCACAACTCCCATGAGAACTCCTGATGACAACTAGCCTAGATAAAACATCCTGGGAGAAGAAGGTCTACCTTCACTGACCCTGTGTTGGGGGAGAAGAAGGTCTACCATCACTGATCCCGTGTTCAACTGATAATATTATTTCATCCCTCCAATTTTAAAGCTCTATTTGCTATTATTTGTATAAGTGCCTTGTAGAGTGCATCTTGCTTTTACTTAAAATAAATCTTTGCACTTTAGTAGTTTCATATGATATTATTTTGGTGTATCTGTTTTGTAACTGAATTGCTGTTGAAATGTTGGAGTCCAGGGCTATGATGTACGTGTTGCACTCCTATACCTATAAGAACCTGGGTCAGAAGGAACAGAATATGTCAATTCATCCCTGTGCCTCTCCTGATATATAAATTGTTTGTAACGTTGGCACTCACCCATTTAGATGTCTCCAAAATTTTTGCCTTGGTGCAACCCGCGTACAAATATATATTTCAAGAATCGAGGTATTTTAAAGAGATTGTTTTATTCTTGATGCATAAAAAATATCTGTCCCGATCGAAGTTTTGACCCGTGTAGGGTATTTTTCAAGATCTATATTACAGTGAAAAAAGTTATTAAATAGAGAAATGTTAAAAAGCTACTTACCAATCCGGTGTGTGCAACCTGATCTCCCTTCGAACCCAGAAGTACACAAGCGGGACATGAGATCCACGTGGTGTACGTGCACTGTCTTCACTTGTTTGTTTTGCACACTCTAGGCTCTATATATTTGCCTGGCCATACTTATATCCTGGTATACACTAGTAGAATCCTCCTTATACATTCATTCATTCATTCATTCATTCGTATTTCCTCACTAACACCACTAGGGCACTGGGAGAATCACAATCGTTTCTTGTTTATGCATGTCACGTTGCAACGACGCAGGTACGCATGCACGTACACCACGTGGATCACGTGTCCCGCTTGTGCAAGGGACAGGCATATTTTGTGCTTATTGTGTGCATTGAGAAAACACAGCCTCTGATTATATCATAAATGACTTTGAATTATGGTTGTCACAACCATTGGTGCTATTAAATATATTTATGCAACACCCATGGGCAACTTTAGCAATGGAATGCCAAATGACCTCATGTTAGTTAAATCTCAGAGCCCATCTCGAGCTATTATCTAGTCCAGGCTCAAAATTTCCATTCACCCACTTGCCATTGCTGAATAGAAAATAAGTCCTGGCGAGTTTAACCCCTCAAGGACCAAACTTCTGGAATAAAAGGGAATCATGACATGTCACACATGTCATGTGTCCTTAAGGGGTTAAATGTATGCATTGTTATTTGTTCATGTACCCCCACTCCCTGTGTGGGTCTTAGTGCTGTTTGAAATCAGCAGTTTATTTTAAGTGGCTGCACATATGATATCTATGGCTATCGTGATTAGGATCGATTTGTAAAGATCGTAGAAACTACCCACTCAGCCAAAGCCTTCACTATGTGTAGGGAATATTTATATCTAAAAACACAATATATGATGCACTTTGCGTGTAACAACTTTAATCGTGAACTCTTGTAAACCCAAGTCAAATTTATCTTGTTTTTTTTTCTCAACAGAAATGTTTCTTCCTTAAAATAATCTGCATTTTTAATAGTTCTGTATTGTCATCAGTATCACTTCTGTGTAGTCATCTGTATCATATGTTTCTTTTTTTATCTCTATAATCTCCTTCCACTTTCTTCTTGGTGTACTGTTAACTACCAAATGGATCGAAATTATTCTCTGTTATGCAATTAATATAATGACAAAAATATTTGTTTCACTGGCTCTACTCTTCCCATAGACTGCGTCACAAGTTGTTTTTCCTTAGTGCACTAACCTCCAATAAAAGTTTTCTTCTTGTAAATTCAAGTAGACTGTATAAAACCATGCTCATCATCAACTTTTTCATGCCATGTGGGGTCTATTAAGGTCATATTTTCCATCTCTTTATGCAGTCTTAGCCCTGTAGGTCCAAATTACATCTTAACATAATGGATAATGGAGCTGCAGCTCCAGGCAAAAATTCCAAGTCAGTACCTCTCACATACTCTTGGTCTAATACTGTATGTTGTGTAGAGGGAATAGGGAATAAAAAAAAGCTTGAGAGATGCGGGGAAACATATCTTATGTGGAAGAGATGTTATAAAATGATTATTTTAAAGCTGACTGTCTACACTGTGCAAATAGTCTTGTTGCTTCTATCTCTACCAGCCCAATAGTCTCCTGTCATCACGTGGCAGTGTGGCATGTTCCCTTTTTCTGGTACACTCACTACAACCACCTTTTTCTGTTTCTCCAGTGGCATACCAATAGCAAGCTTCTTCTGGTAAGAAGGGAAGGAGAGGGGTAGATAGTGAGTCCTGGGAAGGAAGGATTCAGAGTTTGTGATTAGTGAGAGAGTGGGAATGAGAGCTCTTGAGTTTGTGTTTTACAAACGCAAGAGCTCTCATTCCCACTCTCTCACTAACAGACTGAGAAATGAGAGAGAGAGATTGACACAGAGTACATTTAAACTTAAAATAGAGCCTGTAAGTCTTCCTCCTGCACCACCCCCACCAGATACAAGACACTTGTTTCAGAGATATTGTTTTCGGTCTATAAGATTCTGTAATTAGGCCAATTGTAATCATCAGAACCAGGCCCAATACAGCACTGCAGCCCAGTCCAATCACAATCTTTGTTTCTGCCAATCCACAGCCTGCTCTCAGTCTACACATTGAGGAGAAAGTGGTAGTTGGGCAGTTATGGATAGTAAGGTAAAGGTTTTCCAGGTGCCCACTCACCACAGACTCTCTGTCTTGGGGTTTATTTATATTTTCCAAGTTGTTCATAGAATAAGGAGACATTGCTTCTTAATATAATTGAAGTGTTTGGATGAGCTTATATTTAGCTCATCCAGCCACATCCACACATACACTACAATCTGAGCCCAATGATTGGCCTCTACAGAATCAGATTTTGAGGCAATTCTTGCTAACCCTTAACATGTTTTTTATTTTGTTCACATTAGCACATACGGTCCAAGATTTGTTAAAAAAAAAAGTAATACTGATCGGACTACAAGATTTATACCTTCCATTTTTGTCTTACCCTCCCGCCTTACCTCTTTGGTTTGTTCTATCCTGTTTCTCTTATAAGATGCTTATTCAGTAGCAACTGATAAATAACTGTTCTTGTCATTTGAATCTATGCTAGCAATATATATACTGTATGAAACATTTGTAATTATTGAGATCTGCGTGTCTCATCTTGCCAGAAACAATTTTGCAAATGGCCCTGCCAGTTCCAAACCGAACAGGGCCCAATTTATTTCCATTCAGGTAAATCAAGATGATTCGAATGTTTATTTTTCCCTTTCTTTCTTTTATTTTCTGCTCGCTTTAAAAAAAAAAACAACATCACATTTATTGGAAAAAAAATAAATAATTGTAATGTTTATTACTATGTGTTACCGTCTAGAAGGATAACACTCAAGATTACATCAGACATAGCATTCAGTGACAAAATGGAGGTTTGAACAAGTAACTAGATGTTAATGAATGTAACAAATGTAATGGTGGTATGGTGGGCAGGATACTTACGGGGTCGATTGCAATAGAACAAAAGGCAACATTTACTACAGATACCCAATGAAATACATTTGACATAAATTGAATATGGCTGTAAGTTTCCAGAACCTTACTAGAATTCATCAATTAGTTTTACAATGTCTTGTCTTAACTGGGAGAGCCTAATTGTGTTGTATAAAGGATCAGTTCTTACCTCAAACAATATGTAGGCTCCCCTGAACTGGATAGTAAACCTTATTTTTACTTCTTGAGATCTTATTGTAACTGCAACAGCATGCATATCAGTGGATATTAAGGGATATATCTTACAATACACTATACAATGTATTTTGATGTCTATTGAGCCATATGCACAACTGGTTTCCCACACTACAAATAAATGCAACCCTACATTTACAAAAACTGATACTATACGCAACTCCAACCCTTATTTTGTACATATTGAAGCCACACACAAATTTACGCGTTTGCACTATACATTTGTGTGTATATATATA